CCAATAAGTTTGTGCTACATAGCTGTCCGTTTCTGAAGTAGTATTGGGCAGGACGAGGGAAGCTACTTCCCTCTAGGTAACCCCGGAAGACATCTGCGGCCGTGATTGGTGAAAGAATGGCAAGTTCCCACTCTTCGGGAAGCCGACTTACTTCCAAAGAGTGTGTGGACAGGTCGCACATGACTACGCTTAACATTTTGGCACGGTTCCTAAGGCTCACCAGTCTTGTATCGTCATAACCAGAAGATTCCTCTATTCTCAGTGTTGAAAGTTTCTCAAATACTTGGTTTGACGAAATCCTTACATTTACAATCTTTGTACCGCACCTCTGGAACTTCATTACAGTTCTGGCCGTTGGCAGTGAGTTGTTGAGCTCCACGTCAAATCTGCTGCCCAATATTTCCGCCGTCTCACAACCGATCCAAGGCTCTCTGGTCAGTCATGTGATCGGGTTTGAAAGTCTGCTCATCAGTTTTCGTCGTGATGGAAACCAATACAGGCTTTTCGATCCGTAACGTACCTGTCTGAATACCGCACTATTTCGCAATGACAAAATTGTTGAAAAATAGGGGGAAAGTCGTTCATGCCACTTGTTCTCTCAAAGCTTACAAGTTCACGACCAAAAATTCGACTACCAACAAAAAATGGTGCGGTGTTCCACTAAATTATCTAAGAGAGCAACTCGCCCAATCGTGGTGCCAACTTCTTAATACAACGTAACGAAACATTCTCAGAAAAATGGAAATATTTCCGACACATTTATTTATAAATGCTTCCCATTTTTACGAAACGTTTTGGAGGTATTGAGGACTTCTATTTGTATTCCAGATACGACGAGCACTGGACGGAACGTCGAAAGACGCTAAGGGCGGCGATCGACGTACAGTTGGCTTTATTTTACATTATTTTTTATCCGCCACGACACTCTAGGATAGGTCCAGGCAACCAGGGGCCACTTTACAGGGTGATTTAACTCGGCTTCAATTTCGGAAAGATCATGGTGGATCAACCTCCAATTCAGAAAAATGTGAGGTGTAAAATTTACGATGTGATAAATGTCACGCATTCTTGCTAAATCCAATAGGGCTACGAGCGTCTTTGGTAGGAAGGGACCTGAGAGTCTCAGTACTTGCAAATTCGGTCCTGGTAGCCACTGTAACAACATGCCTTCGTGCAAATCTGGCCCTTGCAACCCTGCGACATGTCTTTGAATGGTTGTCACAGGTGTTTCGATCACACCTTCAACAGCTTCAAACGGCCTCAATATAGTTTGGGACCATTCTCTTCCTTCCTTCGCTTCATGAAGGTAAGAGCCATTTGTTACACATCCAAAGGCTTTGCGCTAAATTTTTTTCGTGAGGAGTGTTCAAGCCGCACGTGGAAAGTATGGTAGCGATGATTCTTTATTCCTTGATACATGGAAGACTGAGAGGTGACCCAGTCACGCGGTATACTATTTTAGAATCCTCAGGCACACTGCTTTAGCAGTTTATTGGACACAACTCTAGTGCGGACTTTAACTGCAACATACTCTAACCGGGATCAAGGGTAACATTTGCTTTGTAAGAGTTACTGTGGTCTTAAATACTGTTACCGGAAAGACCGTTCAAGCTACGCCATTAGAATCCTTTACTTGGAAACCTGATACCAACTTAAATGCAATGACTAAGCTAACATACAAAGCCACCAATAACCCAGTGCCTTTTATTCTTTCATTACCTAGGTGGCCAGCTCCAAAGACTTGCGGCCAATTGGTCCTGGGTGTGGTGGGCAATTAAGTGCTGACTTTATTTTTTCCGTCAATAACCACCTGAAACTGACTTCCTTCATTTCAACCTCTTCATCCTTATTTCTGTTATTTTTCTTCCTCATGTCCTTTGGATGTTTTCTCTATGATCGGTGCAGACAACTCTCCGGCACTGCAACATTTCAGGACACATTCTTCAGAAGAGTCCAATGCCAAATTCGTGCATCTCTCTACAACATTTAGTCAAAGATAACCACTCTGCGAGTTAACCGAGGTTACGTCAGGTAGATATCTGCATTGAGTGCATCGGAACCCAACAAAGACGTTGAACCGTTCCGCAAAACCTAAAAATGAATTCAAAGAAATCAACTGACTTATACCGCCCATTGAACCTGTCTTCAGAAACCGAGAGTTGTTTCGTATTGAGACTTACTTTGAGGGTTGATATAAGCCAAAAGCTCACCATATTTTTTGTAAAAACCAAAATTTGGGCATTGAGGCGTGAACTTTTTATCTCTACTATTTTCGATAACTTCATCTACGCGGTCCTTTTGCTTTTACCGCCTAATTTCGCGCAATGTGGGTAGTAATAACTTTGTGGATTTGGTCACTTTTTTAAACACATTACTGACCTGATGAAAAACGCCCAAAATCACAGCTTATGCTTTCTTGCGCTAATTTAAATTTTTTATATAATTGATCATAAGAACCCAAGAAAGAACGCGATAGCGTAGTCGGATGGAGTTTGCGAGGTTGTGCCAAGATACCGATGCGTTCCAACTAACTGGCTAGAGAATCGAATACGAGCAGTGTAACGTAACACTACAGCGTGCCAAATGGCGAGGATGCTTGACCGGATGCCTTCAGCCTAGCGAATCCAGTTAAACTATGAAGGCCAGCATCGATGTTGAACCGCGTCGAACCCTAGGCTATTGATTCTGGAGAAGTTAGTGATTCTACATTTCTATTTTACTGGAAACCATTAAAGTCTTAATTTATCTCATGAATTTATACTTTCCAACACATTTTTCACAGTTGAAACGCTGTCTCGAATGCATGAGTCTTCATGGTTTCGAATAAAGTTTGGTTTATACACAGAAATTAGTTCAATCGCTGTTACTGATTTTAGCCTTATGTTGTCAAAGGGTTATCTAGGGATGCGCTTGCTATATTTTGACCTAGTGTTTAAAAATACTGGGTGAAGTGACTCAAAACTAACTATACTAACATAGATATAACTAAATTTTCCATGGTCTTCGACTAAAATTACATTTTCTTCAGTTTCGGTTTATATGTTTAGATACAAAGGTAAGTTGTTATGTTCATTTTTTTGTCCATGTATTGAAAGAACCCACATGCTTTGGCCTCTTAGAACGATTGCAAAAGCAAGATTTTTACCTGACCACCAAATCCATGTTTTCCTCATCTTGCACTCATGCATTATGAACAAGTACAACAAATTCTCGAATAATATCTTCCTTGAAGACTATAAAGCCTTCCTAGTGTGTTGTTTAAAATGGAATAATCAGCTGGAAGGACAAGGTTAGATATATTATGTTTTAAAATATCTCATCATACTATGATGAAGTAGCTTTTTATCCATATTTTAATGGAAAAAAGTTTAACCTTATCAGCCAAACTCTATAGTTTAGAATGCACATTCAAGAGGTACGCATAGTGGTTCTACAAAGACTTCCAAGGGGAAGAATCACTTTTAAGATAGATAGCTACATAGCTGTCCAGTTTATACTGGACGAAGGTTGTCTATAAGGTAGTGAAAATCTCTTAGGATCTTAGAAAACCTTATCCTCACTAACTTTTATTTTCCTGAAACCACTGAAAGCATCATGTTGTGATTTTCTACTTTTGATGGGTCATCACTTGTTGTTTATTATTCGTTATTATTGACATCAACGGTACTCTGTGATTCCTACACCTATGCACTATGTATGTCAACGTACATCTATATTTATAAATATCATTCCTCTGACGAGTTACATTGAAATATTTTTCAAAGTAGAGATATAACTATTATCACTCTGACAAAGTCATTTAGAGTGCTTCACATATGGAAAGTTGTCAGTGGTAAAGTAGATCCTAAATACGTTCGTTGTTTTCATTACAGAAAATTTAGCTTAATTATGTTCATTTCTTTATTTTCCTTAAATCCTCGCGTGTCTTAAAATGTACTATTCAGGTTTTTCTTGCTTAACAAAAAATTACTTTTTATTCACTATGAGAAATGTCTAGGTTAAAAATACACGGGCTACATCAATACACAAAGCAGTAGTGTCCACCTCACCATCCAAGCCTTTCATCAGCTAACTGGACTCGCTTTTCGACTAGGTTTTGGTTCCACCTCGATCGCTTTATATAATGACGTCATCTGGACCAGAGATAAATAACTGTCCTTTCTTCGTCAAGCTGTCTACCTACAGACGTGGCATATCAGAATTCATCAAGATGGATTTTCAAAGAGATAATTTGTCTGTAATTGTCTAAAGAATATGAGATTGAGTTGTTAGTGCATGACATGCGGATCAATTACTGGGTAAATGGCAGGTGGCTAAGCTTATTGATTTAGTCCCTGGAGTACTTAGTCAGTAACGTGTTGACCAATAGTCTCAGCTCTATCCCGACTCAAGTGATACCAGTTGGTTAAGTCCGTACTTGCTGGTGTGAGCCGTGTTGGAGAATGAAGCCTACCTGATTGGGGTCCCCAAGGCGTAAGAAATTAGTGGTTGAGGAGTCTTGATGATGTGGCTGAAAATCGATCACAATGGCTCATAAGTATTCACTCCTTGACATTTTCTACAGCTGAAGTATTTGAACTAATCTTTATCTTCAGATTGCTTATCCTGTCACACAACTTTATCTACTTCGGTATTGCTTTTTCTATCCATCTGTTCTTTGTGTACCACTGTGATGTGTAGTAACTTGAGCTGATGCACCTGTCTGCGAGGTTCATTGTTGGTTTTGTCAGTCAGTCAACTCAGGTTTTCGGCAGTATATATATATATATATATATATATATATATATATATTAGTTCAAGTGACTTTTAATTAACATGCTAATCTGATGTGCGAACAAGTTATGAATATCTTTTTCTCTCCTAGTCTAGCTCTATAACTTCTGACAACTTGATATGATAAAAATTATCTTTTGAAAAGAAATGAAAAGATTCTCTAGCGCGATGACATTAATGCATGTTCACGATTGATTCAAAATATTGAAAAAATCTCTATAAACTAAATGAATAATACTGATCCACTTTGTGTTCAATTGTTGAAAAGTCTAGTTTTGTGCAGTGAGAAAGCTGCTGTTATAGCCCGTTTAATTAAGCAACAAACTGGTCTTTTTCAAACGCTTATTCAAGTGAAAGATTCAGCAGAGGCTAACTTGAGATTCAGTGTAGATGTCAAGACTTTAACAGATGTATTAATTCAAGAGGTTGTAAAATACGATCTTGGCCTACTAGTAAGTATTACTGCAATTCAGTATCATGTTTTGTTCTATTTCTCTGTATTTTTTGATGCATTTATTTGATCATGTTAAATGCAAAGGATAATTTACTCTCTAAACATGCTTTCAGTTTTGTCACAGCAGGGATTTTGCATCCTTTCTTATGAACTGTAACAGTCAAAGGTGGAAACTGCTTTAAAGGGGCCACACCTGTGGAGCTGTGACTTAGTGGCTTAGGGAGGTGACTTTCAACCATTGAATCACGAGTACGAACCATGCTCCGCGTTCTGGGGTTTGAGTCGCTGGGTAGTATCACTAGCTCTCACACAATAGGTGTGACTCATTTCTTACGGCGTGAGAGAGGGAGTGTTACTGTTTTAAGGCCCCATGTAATGACCAGCTGTTGATACGTTTCTGTTTAACCTGTAAGTAGATACGTTGTTGCAGGGAGTCGCGTAGAGTAGTGTGAGTTTGGTGTCAACCACGAAAATCTGGAATGGAAAAGAGGAAGAGAAAAAGCTGAGCCGACGACTCAGCAAGCACAACCATACCTGTTCCTAAGTCATTGAAGGATATTTTCATCATTTCGATTTTATGTTTTATTGGAAGATTTTTGTCAATACTTATACAACATCTTAGTAGTCTATCGATTGTTGTCACTATGAATGAAGTATTTTATTGATCAGTATGTTTATATGAGATAGTTATTTTTTGTCAGACTCGTATTATTGATACTGAGTGATAGGTGATTCAAGATGAAATTAAAATCTAGATCACAGCAAGATTCAGAGCATTATTGTCCGGGTCACTGGTCCAATGCTCATTATCTGAAGGCAAAGTGCAAGAGACTGTTAACTTAGGCATGCTACTTGTTTACAAAGTGTATTTGTAAATCCGAAGAAATTGATGAACCTTTAAAGATTAGAAAGTGTTTTGATCATAAGAGTTCTAGCTTTAATGTTTGCACTGTAGCTAATCAGCTTTAAGACTGAACTGGACACATAAAGTGATCACTGAATAATAGTCAATTATCTTAATGTTCAAGTTATAAAGTTCATTGAGAATTTCAGTTAGTCATGACTACCAAAATTATATGACTTCAGCAACAATCATGTAATCAAGTAGCCAATAGATTAGTTAGAATCTATCAACTTTCTTTATGAGATGCATTGGTTATCACTTAATTTTAATCCTAAGGAAAGCCTTTATCTTCGAATTTTAGTTTCCTGGATTTGGTGATTTAGTATTTGGGGAAGAGAATAACCGTTTCTCTGGTAATTCAGGTAAAACAGTCACAATCCAACTTTCTTCCAAGGAGAATCTTGTTAATGTTTTTGGTAAGATTATTATTTACTTATTTTGTCTTAAACATTATTCTCTAAAGTATTTAAAAGTATTTGTTAGATATGTAGGTAATGTGGAGTAAATTTAATGAAACTTGGTAGTTGAAACCTGAACCTGAACATTCGTTCAGTAGACAACGATCTACACGTATTGTATGAGAACTAATGACACTACTTGGCTACTCAAACCTCGGTAGATGGTGCACGGTTTGTTGAAAGTCATCTCCCTAAACCAATGAGCCATAGCTCCACTCCTTCAGATGCCCTCACAAACTATTGGAATCTCTACCAGGGAGACAACACACAAGTATAGCTGAAATCCTTATTCCTAGTGGATGGTGACAAATAAGACTGAATGGACCCTTAAGTGCACTTTCTTTGTTGGCTTCCGATGAAGATTATTCCACGTCACAAGCCTATGCTGATGAGGTTAAGAAATGAACTTGAATGTGGTTCAAATCACTCCCCAAAATTGCCGTTAAGCTACTTCGGTGAACTGGTAGTACCTAGGATCAAAGTGTATACTTGTAAATCACATAGTCCCAGGTGAGAATGACACAAATGAGTAGTAGTTAAATGCGAATTCTTATTGTATTCTTACTAAGAAACTAAAATCTTCAGTACCAGTCTGACAATACCCCCCTTATGGAGCGCTACACTAGTAAGGCAAACTAGGTATCCGTTTTTAGACCATCACTACTGATTGGTGTAAGTGGTATACAACTACCCATCTTAGTAATACTGCATTTTAACTTGAAGTTATATTTCCATTCACGGTATCATGAAGACTGTGTACTATGAGTTGAATGCTGTACTTACCAAATAAAACCATAGTGAAATTTTACTACTGGATCTTACCTATTTGTCTCGTGGTCACCTCTACTACACAATTTGTGAAATGTTAAATGACATAAATACGATTAAAAAAAACAACAACAACTTTTCTTGAGAAATCCTAAACCAAAAGTTGAAACAGTAAAAACTATCGATTACTTCATAACTGTTTCGTTCTGTTTTGCGATTTCTTTATAATATAACTTCAAAACATCATATGGTTGGTATCCAACTGCAGACAGTTAGATCTTATGATGAGAACATTAACATTCAAGGACTCATTAACTTGAAATTTACCAGTTAACATTTTCCAACTTTATCAATTGAAACTAATGCGTACTGAATGATGGTTGGTCACTGGAGAGATAATGGGAATGTAGTCAACCAATTAGGTGTGAAGTGGGTTGCAAAGTGATGAAATTGGATGATGATTAGGCTGCACTGGATAATTGTAAGAACTAGAGAATTCAGGTCACTAAATTCTAAGTCAACAGCTGACTGATAGATAGTTCACAACAACATCTAATGGTTTTCTACCCCTAACCCATCAATAGTCATAGGTGTACACCATCGACAGCAAACAGTTGTCCAATGCTCCAAAATTTTTAAATTTTCTCCGATTGAAACTAATCCGTCATAAAAACTACGTTACTGTAAATCCTATAAATGCATACAAAGATCAATAGTGAAGTAAAGTAAGCGGAAAATATACATATTATGACAGAGTGTTAGTCTATACTAAGTTACTCTGTATAACAGAGTGGAAGAGTTTTCTTTATTGGATAACACTATGAGCACAATGGATTGTTTATAATCATACTGAAATTATCACACATTTTTCAAACTCATTTAGTGATGGTAGAACTTTCTAAATGTCTGCAGTTTGTGGTGAATCGTTTGTGTTGTATGTGTAATGACGCTTATGCACTAAACAAGTAAGGAGTCAACCTATCCCTTCACTTAACTATGTCAAATCTTAATACTATGATTCTGTCTTACCTTGTAGATAGGACTAAGAGTTGATGCAAATATAGTGATGGTTGAGCTTTTCTCTAAATTACTTATCTCAGAAGAGCCTTTTATCCTATATTTCGCTAAATTTTTGTACTCTACTATCCTGACCGATCGTGATTGGCTATTCTGATCTGTACATTTGACCTGACAGTCATTACATGGCATTTAATCGATCCTAACTAACCCTACTAGATATTTTAGCCTACAATGTTTCTCGGTTTAAATGCCACTCCTAATCTCAACATTGTTAGGAATATCCAAGTAGTTTTTCTGATGTTCTTTCGTCTTATGATAACACTGCAGAAAATTTTAACTCCTGCTTAGTCATGTTACAGTCACTGCCAACATTGTCCTCCCTTATTTTGATTTTGAGTCCTTACAAACTTTTGAATGAACTCTGAAAGGCAATTTCTCTTTGATATATTTTAGTTTCTTATTTTCATTTTCTGACTTGATGATCAGATACTTAGCTTGATTACTTAAACATTTTATTAAGCCTATTTTGATAGATATGGGGTGAAATAACGTGAAATCCAAGTATCGATTCGAGTGTATTCGTTTCCTCTGAGCACTGGTGTCTAATCTGCTGTCTTCTCTTCTCTTCTCTTAATATTGCGACATCAAATGAGTGGTTCTCCTTCTTGGGTTCAGAATTCAGAATTGAATTGGATCGCATCTATAATCAGTTTTACATGTATGAAAAAATTGTGAATATTTTATAATTTCAACACAATAAATGCGTCATTTACATTTCGCTGTGATACTTTTAGGGTGGATTGAGATGTTTCCTATCTCATCTTTTCCTGACTGTCCATGAATATGTCTACTATGAATGGGGATATTGGACATCCCGTCACCACTTCTTCTGTTCGTAGTAAAAGATAAGACGTGGTTTCAGCGAAAAAACATTTTTCTTTTCAACGAAGTCATTTACTAAGCTGTACGTTTGTGAATATATGTTACAATGGGTAGAACGTTCCAGAATTGTTTCCGGTCAGGGGCGAAATATATTGAGTAACTAAAGGAAATTAATAATACACATTTGTGTTTAGGGTGGGAAAATAGACAGGGGATTATAATGTTAAATGCAATTACGTAATACAGGGTGAATGTATGGCAAAGTAGGGGAACGGAACAAAGGGTTATTAAGATAAAACTGTGAATTTATACTACCGGATAAACTTATGACAGAGTAGGAAAATAAACAGGGTATTATGAAAATAAGATTGTAATTACGTAGTGCAGGTTAAATCTATGACAGAGTAGAAAAACGAATAAGGTATACATAATGAATCTGTGGTAGACAAGGCTTTATGATGGCCATGGCAAAGATAAAGGTTGGACGTACCTTTTTTTTCACGCATAACGCTGGTTTGAACTTCTGGATCGCTAGTGCTTCAACGATCTTGGAATTTGAAAACCCTGGAAATTAGACACCGTCGTATCCCTGGCCTACTTTTTTCAATCAAAACTATAATCCTATTACTCAGTTCATGATCAGTTTTGAATTCATTTCTCACTACTCCAGGTGCTATATTAATTGGCATATTTGTGTAGAGGCTGATCACATCAAAACTGGCTATCTTTTTGCTCTCTTCTAATTGTATATTATTTCGTCTATGTTTCAATTCATTTGAATTGGTGAGCCTAAATAATGAGCGATTTCTAATAGGACATAGTATTGTAGCTAAATATTTTGATAATTCATCTGTTGGTGTGTTACTAAAATCATCTATAGGCCTAATGGGATAACTTGTCTTACTGGCCATTTTCCTGGCGTCTTATAAGCGTAGCCAATGCTCGTCTACACTTTCTGGAAGATTGGTAGCTAGCCTTAAATCTAGATTGTATTGGTATTTTCTTGTATCGACTTCTTCGGGAAGAAGATTTTAATGATCATCAAAATGCAAGATGAGCTTAACACACGCTAAAGCATGATTGGAGTCCAGAAAAATACTCCATAAAGAACGGCAGTCCTGAAGACAAAAGCGAAAATGAAAATAATGAAAAATACAGTTCGTATTGTAAAAACAACAAAAGCAATGTAGTAGCAATAAATTGTTCATGGTGCAGAAGGCTTAAATACTTCCATAAAAGTAAGGGGAACGCTTCAAAATCTTCATCATATATTGTGGTTTCTTTTTTATGTCATTGCTTAGATATTGTCGGGGTACCTAGATCTAAGCAGGTTGGTTTAGGGAACCAGTATACGAGCCTTTGACTTAAAGTCTTATCTACAAGGTAATGGAGGGATATCAGGAGCTGCATTCCTATGGTTTCCGGTGACCAAAATAGGTTCATGTGCCATTCGTTCCATCTAAAATCTGGAGCCTATGAGCACCCTTGGTCTGAAATCATGGTTTTCTAACTCCCCTAGGTGAAATCTCAGTATCTAGCAATCCGGTGGTCAGAAGCGAATATTCACTTTCGATCTTTTACTTCTATGGAAGACACCCCTGCCACGTGAAGGCAATGAATAAGAATTCTCTGTCAAAGGCTGCTGACGCATACCGGAGCATTTGTAGACTAATGGTACTATACATTCTACTAAGATCACTACTTTTAGGCATTAAGTTAAACCGGTGAGATTCATTCACTGTATTAAATCACATGAGACAGTTAAGAAACCTTTAGAACATAGTTATGAACAAGATTAAAAAGTCTACAATGAACAAAACTGTAAGTAATACAAATTAAAATCATATAGCGAAAGATGTGCAGTTGTGTTTAAAGCTGCTTTACTGGTTTAAGAACTCGACTTCAAACAACAAGTCTCAGGTCCGAACCCCACTCCACCTAACCAATAGAACAATAAATGTATAATAAATATAGCTGGTTGATTTCGATTCTACTTTATCAGATAATTTGACTAGAAAATGAATTACGTGCTTTATGGTTAATTGACTATTACTCCCAAATGCTTAGGGGTATATAATAAAAATAACATTTGTCGAAACAATACTATATAAACTAGATATTTTGATACAGTTTCTTTGATGTACACACAGTTCTTTCTAACATTTCCTGTTAGCCACTCAAGGGTCTGGCACGTGATGTCTCCGAATGGCTTTCTCAGTGTATGCCTAGTCCAATTCATCTTGACTTTCTTCTACATGTTTGTTGGGTGATAGGTTCTTGGTTGGTTCGATGCTAACCAGAGCGAGTTCCTTCTTGCTTATTCTTATTATTCTGGCCATCTGATCTTCAGTATCTAGCCAGCGTAGGCAGCTGTTAATGAATGTATGTAGTTTGTTGGAAATGCTTTTCGTGACATGCCAAGTTTCTAACATTTTCTGTTAGCCACTATATATCCTTTGCCGAAAATCCACTGTAGAATACAAAGATAGTTTCTGTCAATTAGACTATCATTCAAGCATTCGAATAAATCAACATTTATATAACTCAATGAAGACTGGATTATAAGTTTATTCTATTGAATTGTAGAGGAATAGAACAAATAAACTAACCATTAACTAATAACTAACAATTATTGTATACTATTATTGAAATAAGACTAAAACTTGGACATTAAGAAGGATATTATTATATTATAGAATAAGATTATCAAAATGTTCACAGGAAACCATAAACTCTTCAATCTTTTTCCCTTAAAGTTTTAAGAGAAACTAACTGTGGTAGGGATAAAAATCAATGGGATACTGAAATCCAAAAAAAGGTCCATTGTAAATATATATATATGTAAACTCTTGTATTTTGTATATTACTTTTGACGTTACAATACTACCTTTTCATAAGATAAATTCAATGAAACGGCTTCATCTTTCATCATGAAACACTAATCAATGTTAATACAATACAACTGCCGTTTATTTCATACTTTCATATCATAATCTCTGTACTTTCTCCAAGAATTTCAAAGGTTAGCATACACTAAGCTAGATGAAACTCGTTTCGATTGATATGCATAACATATGTCTACGCTATTGAAAACACCATTTAAAGACGAAATTATCATGACTAACCGTTTATAGATTTTTATTCAACCTGTAGGTATGCTGTTAATGTAGACGGAGGGTGGGTGAGTGGTTGCCATCCACTTAAATAAGACGATAATCTGAGAGGTGAAAAGAGAAAAAAAACCTGAGCCCCAAACTACTGAATGACACTCTTTATCAAGATCAAATTAGCACTAAAGTACCTCACTTTTGTAAACCATATGGAAATCAAATTCCAACTCTACGCATCATCATAGAACAGAGTATAGAATGGCAGTCAACTTAACTCTACCTCAACTTCATCAACTTTGAAAAGGCCTTCGACAGCATCGACAGAAAAGTAATTTGCCAGGAACTGGCTTCAACACTACGGAGTGCCACGAATTTTTATGAACCTCATTCAACAGCTATATGAAGATGCCACATGCCAGCCAAGTAATTCACAATGGAAAGCTCACTGATGCCTTTGAAATGAAGACGGGAGTAAGACAAGGCTGCCGCCTACTATCGCCAATGATCTTACTGATTGTGGTAGACTGGATCATTTAGGAAACCGTGAAGAGCGAGAAGGTGAGCATACGCTGGACCGAGGAAGATTTGGATTTCGCCGCCGACAATGATTTATGTCTAATGTCTTGTCGCACAAACTCGAAGATCTGCAGGTGAAAACCAACAAGTCGGCAGAAGAAGCGGGGCAGCGAAAGAAGACGGGACTTCCTTCAAGCGAACGTAGAGAAGACAGAGATGATGAACACCGATCACCATGAACGGAAGAAACTTCAAGGAAGTAGCCTCTTTCGCCTACCTACCTAGGCAAGGTAGAATCATTTCAACTACAGACAGAGGCTGCACAGATGAGGATATCAAAGCAGCCAGGATCGGAAAGACAGCAAGACAGGCTTTCATTAATCTGGAATCACTGTGGTGATCTACTGCATTCAGCATAAAGCGGGAACAAGATCCGGATTTCCAACAGCAATGTCAAATCAGTGCTGCTATGTGGCTCAGAAACTTGGCGCGTTACGAAAAGCCTTTCCAACAAACTACAGACATTCATTAACAGCTGCCTACGCTGGCTCGATACTGAAGATCAGATGGCAACAAGGAACTCTGGCTGATGACGAACCAACCAAGAACCTATCACCCAACAAATATGCAGACGAAGGAAGTGGAGATGGATTGGGCATATTCTGAGAAAGCCATTCGGAGACATCATGCGCCAGAGCATACCAGGCCGTTGAGTGAATCCAAAGGGGAAACAATGAGTTGGGCGTCCGGGGAGAGGGTGACATGGAGGAGATCATGTGAGGAAGAGATAAAAGGTTGTGGGCAGTGGTGGAGGCAGATTGCGAAGACTGCAGAGAAGAGAGTGAAATGGCGATGTGCTACTGAAGCCTCATGTTCCACTGGGAACCCAAAGGGGATAAATAATAATAGTAAATATTAGCAGTTCTGTTGATGTAACACTGATCGGATACACACAGATTTGTCTGGAACCTTCTACTTGTTCAACTAACATGAGTTTGGATGTTTGTTATGCGTATTAATGTGTGTAATTCACCAACTAACAATCTAACTTTTTTTCTTTTCTACAACTCGAATCTAGTTGACATTTTTGGTAATAATGTGAACTTTGCTAATGAATTGAGTGAAATTTGTTTTCAATCATTGGAGTTGTTTAAAACACAATTATCAGTTAGTAAAATTTGGGAGAATCTTATCACTAAGTGTAATTCACTCTGTCAAATACAAGATAAAAGATATAATGATCCTAAAGAATTCGGTGTATGGATTGATCCAATAGGTAAGTGTAACATCTTTTAGCTAACCTTTTATTTTTATGTGTTTTCTATGAGGATATGAATCACTGACGTGTAGGTACTCTGTGTGTTTGTTTTTTTCCCCTATTGGACTTCAGAGATTTAAAATCTCTTCTACAACTACTGAAATTCGGCTGTTATTAGCCTTCATATGATAGATATGATCCCCTTATGTAATCTTTAAATGTATGCATGCTTGTTAGTGTTGAATTGTGTATATTGCATTTCTTATTAAAATAAACATTATTTGTATGTAAGATAAGTGTTCAACGTATCCTGCTAAATTTTAGATAATTGAAATAGATTAGGCAAAGGAATAATGAAATTAGGGGGGGGGATCCTTGACTTACAGCTGACCAAATCAAAGCTACGCGATTACATGAACATGACCATGACCAAAAAATGATAATTGTAACATTATCCAGCGTGTTATACTATCTCACTGTGTAATGCATTCAGCAAACAGTTCTGAGATGGCATTCATCACACAGTGCCATCAATTGGGGGAACGATTACAAACCTAGAAGCATTGGACAGTTGTTTCGTCCTAGTATGGGGCCCCTCAGCAATACGCACCCACAACACAGCTAGGGATTGAACTTAGAATCTTCAGGTTCTACGGCGAATGTGCTAATCATTCAGACAGTGGGTCGGAGTTCAATGATTCACCGTTTCAGATTTCTGTCGATTCGCGATATAGCGCGACTACCACGCAAAGTCTTCAGTTGGTATCCACTACCCTTCCGAATTTTCGACCCCACAGGTCATCATGACTTCTCATTAGAACTTCGTGATATCCATCTGGAAGTATATCACTACTGAGCAATATACCGTAATGTATTTTTGAGATGGATGACCATTTTAATTTAGAGGTAGTATTCTTCATGGACTGATATCAGTTGGGGAGGGGGAGGGACCATTACAAACCTGGGAGCATTGAACAGCTGTCTTCTCCTATTCATAATCTACTACAGTCTTCAAGTCCTGTTATTATGTTATTTAATAAATTCTGGTAGCTTAGAGCCTTGTTAAACTAATCTGTACTCATCAAATGTACAGGATCAATTTTCGGTTAAATTCCTCTTCTGAATATAAATCCCGTAAGTCATTCATATTGAAAACACGGGATCAATTATAGAGAGAACAGTTGACGTTAGATCGAACGATCAACCATTTTTTTTCTCTCTTTTTCTTAAGAGAAGTATCTGTAAGTCATGAAAGAAAAATAGGAAAGAAATATACTGTTGAATAATTTGAGTAGTTAGAAACCATTCGGGTTGATATGTAGATCCTGTAGACAACCAGATCAGAGTGATCTAAACACAGATGGCTGATTTGTTCATTTGAAGTTGAGCCAACTCATCAGTGGTGTATCCGGACAAATACACCTCACAGTACTGAATCTGACTAACTGATTTGCATGGACCGATTTACTTAAAATAGGATATTTCAGGTTGTTATTCATTGTAGACTGACATCAACTAGAGGAACAAAGGAAACCTGGGATCACTGGACAGCTGTTTCATCCTAGTATGGGACTCCTCAGCAGTGCGCACCCACGACCCCACTCCGCCTGTGATCGAACCCGCCACCTTCAGGTTCCGTTGCCAGCACGTTACCATTGAGCCACTGGGTCAGAATCCAACGGTCCATATTTCCAACTTCTGTTAGCTAACGATATAGCGCAACCGCCACCCGATGTCATTGTTGAGTAACTGTCCTCACAACCATCAGGCATTGCCCCCACTGGTCGCAACTTCTCACTGGAACTTCGGGAATACCTCTCGAAGCTAGTCACCAATGAGCACCAGTTCAATTGAATTTTGAGGGAGTTGTGGTCGTGAGGACAGTTACTCAACGATGACATTAGGTGGCGGTTGCGCTATATCGTTAGCTAATAGAAATTGGAAATATGGACCGTTGGATTCTGACCCAGTGGCTCAATGGTAACGCGCTGGCCACGGAACCTGAAGGTGGCGGGTTCGGTCACAGGCGGGGTGGGTTCGTGGATGCACATTGCTGGGGAGTCCCATACTAGGATGAAACAGCTGTCGAGTGCTCCCAGGTTTCCTTAGTTCTTCCAACTGATGTCAGTCTACGATGAATAACAACTTGAAATATTTCCAAATCCCCACAACTCCCTCGAAATTTAAAATAGGACAGTCAAAAATGTAATAGCAAAGTAAGACTTCTCTTTCCAATTATTTCTTCTACCTAAAGTTGTCTAATCGTATTTGTATCCACGGGAAACAAATAAACAATAATACTTACTTCAAATAACTAAATTCTTGGGAATCTGAAAACAAGTTACTCATTGGTAGATGGATATCTTGAAGTTGTAATGAAAAGCTATCACCTGTGGGGTGAATCAATCACAAGCGAAGTGGATGCCAACTATATCATAAATTGACAGAAGCAAGAAACTGTAGGCCATTGAATTTTAACCCAGCGGTTGAATAGTGACACGCTCACCATGAGACCTAATGGTCATAGGTAAGCACTTTTGAAGAGTTCTATATTAGGACGAAAAAGCTATTCAGTGCTACTAGGTTTTCAATGATTCTCCAACTGATTTCAATAAATAACACTCTACTATTACTTAACAGAGTCATATGATTACTATAATATTTGAGTGTAGAATGAAAAGATTCCTACAGATAGAAGAAAATAACCAGTCTGTCCATAATATGGCTAGTAGGTGCATATAATGTTGTTGAATACCAAGATTAAGTTTAAGGTTATCAATTGCTAACAATTCAGGTATGTATAGATAATACATTCTGAAGATTATAGAATTGTTGAGGAGCACTCTGTAAAATACTTTGAAGGAAAACTAGGAGAGGCTAAATTTCTAGAGATGATATGTGGTGTACAACAATAGGACTATTGATATCTTTTTTTCACTCTCCTTTGAATGACCAAGTTAGAAACTGTTCCGAAATACACTTATGGACCTGATATTGTGCATAACCAATGTACACTGCTCCACAAGAATAAGTCAAGAAGTCAATGTATATTAACATAGACAAAAGCGGTACTCTGTCCTTAACACATCTACTGGAGAGTATGATTCTCAGGCTAACTGAAACAAATATCTTTCTAAAAGATCTCGGTAGACAAATTTGTAACATTTCAACTATAATGTCACCTTTGAATTCCAAAATTTGGCAAACTAGTATTTATACTGGATGATGATTGAAGGTAAAACGAAAATTCGGACCACGGTCGGATTCGAACCGCCAATCACTGGGTTTTCGCCTCGTTGCTCTACCAGGTGAGCTACGAAGTTCGACTACTGACCAGATTTCTATTTCACTCCACTTCATTTCGTGATGCGTTACTATCACTTAATCGTATTCACACTGGTTGCTCAGTTCAGTCATAACTTCTCATCCCAATGCAAATCTAACTGAATTACACGAGGAATATCATGTTACGAACTCATATGGCAGTTAGGCAAAACTCATGGTAACTGAAATAAAAATCTGGTCACCAGTTGGACCTCATAGCTCAGTTGTTAGAGTGTCGGACCACAAACCCGATGGTCGGTGGTTCGAATCCGACTGCAGTTCAAATTTTCACTTCATTTTAAATCATCACCCGGTTTAATTATTAATGATGATAAAATTTCGTAATTAGAAAAGGTAGATTACCTGAAAAATATGATGAATTTGAGCTATACACTTTAAAAAGTCTGACCATATATTTGCTTGTTAAGGAATTTTTTAAAATATGAAAACGGTTGCAAACACTAGGTAGAGTTAAAAACTACTCTATATTCTATAAACTTCAGGATCAATATTTTGACCTCATAGAGTTGAATAAGTTGAGGATTGGGTAAATGGTTTATAAAGGGAATGTATTTGTAAAATCCCAGTGACGTAGAAAAATAAATTTCTGACCTTTAGTGACTTTTTAAAAATCTTTTTTTCAAGTTGGTATTCATCATAGAGGAACATTGGAAACCTGGAAGCATTGGACAGCTGTTTCATCAAAGTACGGAACTTCCCAGCAGTGCGCACCCATGACCCCACCCCTCCTGGGATCGAACCCAGGACTTTCAGGTCTTGTGGCTAGTACGTTACCATTGAGCCACTAGATCGAATTCCAGTGGTCTATATTCCCAACTTCTATCGGTTCACGACATAGCACGACGGTTACTGAATGTCATCGTTGAGTATTTGTCGTCACGCCCATCAGGTTCGCCCCACTGGCCACAACATCTAATTGGAACTTCGGGAATCACATCTTGAAAATCGCTTCTTCAGATAATTAAACCTGTACAAGTTATCGACTGTTTAAACAGTAAATGGTGACTTATCAGATCACGTTGTTCATATATGTATGACTAGTTGATAACTTGTTCAGGTTTTATTTTCTGAAGAAGCGATTCCCACAAAGTTGTGAAAAGTCAGAAATTCATTTTTCTGTTTCGTTGAGATTTTACAACTGCTTTGTATTATTTTCCCAAGAAATACATTTATGTAGTGTTACTATACAACAAAGACTAAGGAATATCATAAGCATAACATACTATGCAGCTAGGTTTATCTTAGTTGAAAAGACCAAAGATATATTACAATACAGACCTTATTACTGTATTATGTCATATCCCAAGGCGTTCATCAATTTAATTATATCTGCACTGATGTACTAATCGAGATATACACATGAGGATGGGGGGAAATGTACCGGAATAAAGAAACCTGATTGGTAATCCCAGTAGTTGCCAAAATGACCTTTAAAGTCAGCCCTTGATTCACAAATATCGATAAGTGGAAGCGGTAGACAACCATCATCGTCGCTTGTAAAACATATTATTTACTGTCAGGGTTGTATACTTTGGTTTGTAGAAGCGCTAGCCATACACAAGCAGTTTGTCCTAATACTAAGACTACCCGGGTAATGGTTATCTTATCATATTACCAAAGTTGTCTTCAAATTCCATCTCATTCTCTCTTCATTGTCTTTCTTACCAATGACACTGGGTGATGATTGAAGGTAAAATGAAAATTCGGACCACGGTCGGATTCGAACCACCAATCACTGGGTTTTCGCCTCGTTGCTCTACCAGGTGAGCTACGAAGTCCGACTACTGACCAGATTTCTATTTCACTTCAATCACCAAGGTGGGTTTTGTTCGACAACTGTCATATGAATTCGTGACGCTTTCCTACCACTTAATCGCATTCACACTGGTTGCTCAGTTCAGTCATAACTTCTCATCCCAATTCAAATCTTACTGAATTAGAGAGTAGAGGGAGCACCATATTGATTACCATCTTGACTATCTAAGGTAGCCGTGATTCGGCAGACTAGTACTGATACTCGGTGTGACTGAGAAACCCTGACTACGCAGCTTATGTGAATGCGAACCTGCGGTGGTAATGTGTCATGAATTCACATGGTAGTTGGTGTAAAACCTGTCTTGCCCTCACAGCTCAGTTAGTAAGGCATCGGGCTGAAAAACTGTTGGTAGCTGGTTCGAGTTCGGTCGCGGTTCATCATCTAATATGAATAATACAGATCTGCTAAATCACCGCTGTTATCACAGGTAGTTAACATGATAATTTCTTATTATTGTCATATTCCTTTATGTTATATTTATTCTTTCATATAAAAAACCTTAACAAGTAAATATATGATCAAACTGTTTAAAATGAATGGCGCAAATACATCACAAATTATCCAGATGAATTTCATCTCCTAATCACAACATCCAAGATTATTAAAAATACGATTGTACAACTTTATTTAGTAAATGGAGTAGTTGATAAGTGAAAAATTCTCTTCAATGTTACCTCTTTTATTCTATGACCTTGCATGAGGATTATTTTTAATCACTAACAATAAATAAAATTTTGAGGGAGTTGTAGAGATTTGGAAATATTTCAAGTTGTTATTCATCGAAGACTGACGTCAGTTAAAGGAACAAAGGAAACCTGGGAGCACTGGACAGCTAGCCATTTCATCCTAGTATGGGACTCCTCAGCAGCGCGCACCCACGACCCCACCAGCAGGGATCGAACCCGCCACCTTCAGGTTCCGTTGCCAGCACGTTACCATTGAGCCACTGGGTCAGAATCCAACGGTCCATTAGCTCACGATATAGCGTAAACCGCCACCCAATGTCATCGTTGATCCCTGCTGGTGGGGTCGTGGGTGCGCACTGCTGAGGAGTCCCATACTAGGACGGAACGGCTGTCCAGTGCTCCCAGGTTTCCTTTGTTCCTCCAACTGATGTCAGTCTTCGATAAATAACAACTTGAAATAAATAAAATGTTTGATTAGTCTATATTGAAGAAGTGGGAATTTAGCTCTTTAGGGGTAGAAATTTTTGTCAGACACTGATGCCTTTAACTCAATAAGAGTCATCATTTGAAGTGACAGTAGACAGACACGACAGAAAGAATGTCTATTATCATCAATTGGAACAGTAGTCGTTACATATGTTACACCTTGCACTAGACCCATCATTTGCAAATGAGCTTCGTTTCCTCTTATGTTTCTCTCTTGGTTTGCTCTTCATACATTCTTATCAGCAGCATCCACTGTAATACGCCTGCATTATCCCTTGCGTTGCTCTTGCCAGAAACCTTACCCATTGCTGATAATTGCCTATGATTCCTGTTACCCTCAAAACATATACTACCAATATCTATTGTTATCATCAACGCCCACTACAGTATTTCTACTGGGTAATGATTGAAGGTGAACACTACCTCTAATTTTGCCTAATGTTTGTTTCGACCTCATAGCTGAGTTGGTAGACCATCGAGCAGGAAACTCGGTGGTCGGTGGTTCGAATCCGACTGAGGTTCATTTTTTTCATTTCACCTTCAATCGTCACCCAGTATCAATAAGAGTTGAGTAAAATGTCTACCAAAACATCTTCAACAGATTTTTTATCGCCAGTAATGACATAATGAAAACGGATTGTATGCTAACATTTTTTTCGAAAAGCAAACCAAAGATATAGGAGCGTAACTGTATATCAGATATATGAAAAATACTACTACCCTTATCACAAAGCAAAGGAGAGAATTAGAACTATATAAACCATGTCTCAGAGTTGCACAGTTACCTGTGTCAAATACCCCTAATTTTATATTAATGATGGATAGTAGCTAGCAGTGGAATCCAAGAAGAGCATCTCATCTCACTTGGGATGTACCTGCCTCCCAGTGAGTGATGTTCTTCCGACTGGGTTTTGAACTTGGGACCGATCGCTTCAAACGCCAGAGTGTTATCCACTAGATCGCCGACTTACGATAACCGTTTCTTTTGCGACGGGTATAATTTTTTAAATATTATTCTTTGTATTATACCGTCGTTGATTGGACTGAATTGATCGGTCTCTATTAGCATGTGGGCTTCTGTGCAGATGCCTTAATATCGTCTGTGTTTGAGTTAAATATTATTGATGGATAATGGTTAGCAGTGGAATCTAGGATGCGTGTTTCATCCTATCAATTCAATACACTCAACAACGGGAAAATACAAACAACAACATTACCTCTAACTTCGCGTAACGTTTGTCTGATATTTGCTTATAGCCTTAAACTAACTTTATTACTGCTTTCTGCCTGCCCTCTTGGCACCGAAGGCTGAACTCTCATTGATTGCTAACCTAAGTGTGGATTCAGTGTTTGTCAATGTCTTTGAGAATATATATATTCAGTATCGCTCTCAACTGTACTGACTGCTGTTTAAACAGTAAAAGCTCTCTGTCAACGGTCTGTCTTCACTTCTTGTCTTAGCGTCCCAGTGGTATTGTTGTGGTGGTTGTTGACGTTTGGACTAGCGATTAGAGTAGATTGTTTTACGCGTTAGCTTCGTATCCCTCCTAGACTGTTAGGTCGCACTACCGGTTATAGCAACCTGGTATGAATATGAACAATAAATTATGTCCGAACCATTACCCAGTAAATAATAATGTTCCCTCCTTGTGCGACAATTCTAATGAACAGACTAAAATGGAATTACAAAGCAAAATGCAATTAATTCACCATTACACTATTGACGATCTTATATCCCTTTTTAAATCATAATAGATGATTACATCAACAACTCATAAAAAAATATTGTTTGACTAGGAAACAAAATGACAGCTGGGTAAATGTTTTCTGTTGTTTTACAAAGTTTTTCCCTACGCGATTAGTTGATTGGTCAGTCGATTCAATGATAATCGGAGAAAATACTCTGATATTTTAAAGCTTTATGAAGTACGATCAGCATAAATCAAATAAATATTTATGCTAAACCCTCATCAATGGAATGGTAGGAGAAATCTGAAACAAAGGACTATTTATTTTAAGGGAGAAAAAAATCCATGAAATAATGCCTGTCAGAGACTGCACCCATATTATTTTACTACTCTGTGAGATGTCCAATAAGCAAGAATTACCAATCCCATTCACTCATTTGACCCTCTCACCATATGAACACATATCAATCCTCGAATTACTCAAATTTCTGGACGGTCATAATGGCAATGAAAATCTGAAGAGACAATAAAATCCAGGAGATCAACTCACCTATTAACTTTAAAGTGAACATATTCACAATAATGCTATGCAATCGATTTCTCTAGTACTTCATCTAACAGTGAATATACGTACCTCCTTGATAATGCTGCATAACTTAACGTGAACAGTATGAAAAACGCATTGCCATTAGTCCGCAGTTTTTTTCAAATGTTTATTCCTTTGCACCACAATATCTAATTCTCATAGCGTAAATCTTTATTGCTATGAATGATAACAAATGAATAGATATTCACTTGGATTACATGACTACGTGGAAACTCACAGATTCCCGAATTCGTCAGTGGCGGTTCTTTTGGCCTCTGAAGCTGTAAGAATTTGTGGTAACGGGGTATTGCGAAGACGATTCAAACATGTCGACTGCTTATGATGGATATTTGGAATTTCGTGCAACCTTGGTGCCACTAATGGTGAAAAAAAAAGTATGACTGAAAACGATCCAAACTTTTACACTTTGTATATGCTGAAAAGTGGTATTTTCTTGTTCATTTCATAACTTGCGGAATGTTCTGATGTTTTTAATCTAATTTAATGACCTTCATTCCGTACCATTCAGGTCCCGTAAAATCTTGTATATTTTCCAACACATATCAATGTGATAATGCCTGTAAACTGACTTCTCTCATGTTAAATTACTAATATGAGGATAAAATATTTATTTGTTTATTATTACCTCATGAATAATGACTAACAGCATCATGCAATTTCGAAGGCCTGGATAAACAGATAGATTCGAATCCATGACTTAGTCACTACATATAAATGCTAACTACTGCTAGCACAGCTTCAATAACGGAAAAAAAATGAGCGTAGTTTATAACCCCAAAACGAATGTAACGGATTATCATCATTTCTGTTGATAATTTTCTCCTTTTTTCCATAAAACAAACAAACATGTTTCAGATTCAACAGCTGACTACGCTCAAGGTCAATTTGACAAGATCCATGCTTCCGCATCAGTTGTTGAATCTAGCACTGAAGCAGAGAGTTTAAATCAAATTAATCATTTCTTTGCAAATCCAACAAGTTTAATCCGTTTCTTTCGTGGTGGATTGATCAATGTTACTATACTTATTGGATTATTTGATCGTTCCACTGGTTTACCGTTAATTGGAGTTGTAAATCAACCATTTTATCTGCTTGACAACCTTTCTCAAGATGATAATAGTTCATTAGACAATAAAGTAAAGTAAGATGTTGCATAATACTCATTGTATAAACGTATTTATGATTACCCTGACATGATATATGCTCTGTACTCATTGCTTGTTGCTGGGAGTATGGAAATGCAGCCAACATGTTGCTGTGATACTTGTGATTTCCGGTTGCTATGCAAGACCGAAAAGTTCAGCAGATGGACTTCTACGCGAAGGCGTCGATACTTCTGGATATTAATGATGTTATATTGATCCTGGTTACTAGCAGAGGAGTTCAGGATGCTCGTTTCATCCTACTTTGGACTCCTCAGCTGGGTGTACCTGCACCCCAGTGCAGAGTTATGTTTTCCCCCCTGAAACTCAAACCCAGTAACATTCGCTTTAAAAGTCAAAGTGTTATCTACTCAGTCACTGGGACATGATTACCACCTTTTATTGTTATGATAATTGTAATTTCCCGTCGCTATACAGGGTGGAATTGCTTACTCTTGGTTGTGTCATTTCTTATTCAACCTTTTAGGCTGATTTCAACAGATTAATCAGTAACCTATACTCACGTAAATAAGGCTTGTTTGGATGATTTTTGATTTTGGGTCTCTGAACATGGTGTCACTATGTTAGGCGTCCCTTTTTCTAATAAATTCTCGATCCATTTTCTTATAATCTTACTGTTAAACATCATATACTACAAGAGATGAATTAGTAGATTGTGATTGGAACATTGACTGGTGTATTTCACCAACCATAATCCACTTTAATATCCAGTGCTCAATGAAACAAAAGTGGAATGACAGAAATCTTATCGTGACCAGGCAGAAGTAAGATATCACACTTTCCATCTCAGTTTCTCAAAGTCTAATTAGTCTCTTGTTGAAAGTTTGAATGAAAAGCTAAACTAATTATTTTATTGATGGATAATGGTTAGTAGGAGAATCCAAGACGCATGTTTTGTGTTATTTAGGACTCATCAGCTGATTATACTTACCTCCCAATGGGCGATCTTGTTCGCTTCAAACACCAAAACGTTATCCACTAAGCTATCAAATCACAATAGCCACTTCATGTACAAAATTGATACGACAGTCTATAACGAGGTCAATAGAAACCGATCAATGACAGGATAATATAAATAACAACATTATCATTGAAGACTTTAAGCGATATAATTCAGAGCCATTTTCCATGGTACACATATATCCAAGCTTCATTTTACATAAAAGTTTGAATAAATTATTATCGTGTACTTTTTTCCTCTAAATCTTTCTTTGATAGTTTTACACTTTCTCAATTGTTTTTTCCACTATCATCAATTCGATCATTTTCATTTTTCTACACTGATGTGAAGTGCAACAAGTTGTATACTAAGTTGTACATGGTTGATGTCTGTCTGTCTATCTATTTTGGTGCAGGATTTACAGTCTTGTGCTCTTATTCTTTCTCCTTCACTGTGTTGTGTAATAACGAACCAAAATTGTTCTCATAGTCGACTATTGTTTTGTTTCAATGAAAATAACCACTCATCTCTACTGAAAGTGTAAATAAGATCATTAATATGTACAAAAATATGTGACAGACTGAATTATGCGAAAAATTCTACATAATTTATCATTTTTGTCCTTGCCTTTGCCCTTGGGTTCCTAGTGAAACATAGGGCTTTAGTAGCACGTCTCCATTGAACTCGGTTCTCTGCAGTCTTTTGAACCTCGCTCTACGACTGCCCACAACCTTTCATTTCTTCCTCATATGATCTCCTCCATATCACCCTCGCCTCGGACGCCCAACCCTTCGTTTCCCATTTGGATTCCACTTGAGGGCCTGAATTGGTGCGTGGTATCCCCAATCGTCCTTCTCAGTGTATGCCCAATCCATTTCCACTTTCTTCTGCATATTCATTCTACATATTCAGTCTACCTTTGATAGATTTCCAGTTTGTAGTTAGCAATAAAAATAGCTATTTGTTACGTGATTGTACAGTGACTGGCCGACAGAATCAATATGAAGCCTCACACATAAGCGCATTGGCTCAAGTTGCCACATTTCACAATAGGATACAAAGAACAGATGGATAGAAAAAGACTGATATCAAAGTAGACAAAGTAGTGTTAAAGGAGAATGAACCATTTGAAGATAAAGTTTAGTGGGGATATTCAAGTTTTATATGATGTCAATGAGTGAATACATCTGCACCGGTTCGACTGAATTTCAACTATGTCACCAACAGTTCTCAACCATTGACTCCTCTCGTCTCAGGGGCGCCAGTCAGGCAGTCTACGTCTCCCAATACGACTCAAACCAACAGTCACAGACTTCATTGACTGGTACGAGGTTTTAGTCTACACTCTCTTTCAACCCAGTCAAACTTCCTGTTGGATGGCACGTCGATGTAGGCGGTGACTCAGCTCTGCCATGTTAGTCGACTCAGGTTCACAACTTTATCAATCTACTTGCCTTTCTTGCATAATACCCTTCACTTGACTTTAACAATGTTCACATGGCGATTTAGCCAAATGTGAACAATACTATGAAGATATCTTTGTGAGAAATAATTACAAAAATAAACAAGAAGAAGTTCATGAACCGAGGGGAAGATAAATCAATCAATAATAGTAAAGTGTTTGAGGAAGATAGAAGATGAGCGTACATTGATGTAATGGATTCTTAACCCTATCACCTAAACAATACAACTATATAGCATCTAGTAGACTCTGTTTAGGTGGATTATACTTTACTTTACGATTCATTGAATTCATGAGTTATCATCATATCTGGGTCTATCGATAAATCACATTTTCTCAACTTTATCGTGTTTTCAATTATCTTCATACATCGATATATATATACAAAAAGTTTAGTTCATAAAGCCCCTAACTAATAATCTGAACCATGTATAATAAAATATACCTTCAAGTTGAGATCTACACAATAGCCACAATCGATAATTGAAGACTGTAAAGATGATGTTGCTTAGAAAAGAACACAGTAGTTGAAATGTATTCATACATTATCTGTATGTTAACCATAATGTTACATTCTACTACTTGCCTTAATCCCTCTTTTTATTGATATAACATTTGATAACTTTTGATAGCTGTTCCATCCTAATTTATGACTGTCTAGTAACATGATACAATCCAGGAGTATTTAATCCTGCATTGAGCACAATACCAATTTACTCACTGATTTTCAAATGCCCTATAACTAGTACCTACATTACAAGTTGTATATGATGATACGTAGTTGAAGTAAGGATCAAAAAGCTATAAATTTGTTATCTTAAAAATTATACCATATTTTCCCCTACAGAAACAGAAAAAGGAATATGACATTGTGTAAAACATTCGGAATACATGAATAAAATAAAGGAGATAAGTAAGAAAATATGAAGACAGGGGATATTGTATTTTATCTGTGGCACCGATGCCATTGTTTATTAAGGGTCGAGTAAACTATGCTGCAGTTTGCCATTAAAGGTAGAAGAAATGAGAAAGGTTGAGATGTTCGACTACTGCTGCCTTCTTAACATAGGCCGTGTTTCGTGGTGTCACCATATGAGTAACACAGAAGTCAGGTGTAGAGTTTTACACAGGAAACAGTTAATGCGGTTGTGAACCTTCATCGACTCAAATGCCTGGGACATGTGTTATGTATGCTTAACCACCATCTCTCTCGTCGCGCAATGTTGGTTGAAGTAGGTTCACGCTGGAAAAAGGTTCACAGGGGCCAAACTAAAACATGGCATCAACCCATGAATTCTTTGACTGTTGGTTTGAGCCGTGTAGAGCGATGCAGAATAACTGGTAGGGGTCAGGTGGTTGGAGATTGACTCTAGATGATATGGCTCCTTTACTACTTTCTACTTCTACTTCCTTTGATCGATTTTCTTTCCTTCTTCATCTTCCACTTTATTGGCTTCTTACTTGATGTACTGATATTAGAAGTGGCAACTTGTACTGTTAAGCAGTAATCCCTGATCTTATATTGATCTTGATGACGATGATGATAACATTGTATTAAGGATAGATGTTGACTGGTAGTGAAGTTGAGAACGCACGTTTCGTCCTATTTAGCACTATTAAGTTACATTTACCTGCTTTCCAATGAGTGGTGGTGTACTCACTGAGACTCAGGGATGCTTTAGTCAGGAGGAATACTTAACTACAAAAGTAGGGCTAAACTGTTTGTTATCCTTTGTCAATTGACAGTGTTTGATAACCAATGACTGAGCGAAATGCGGGTGGAATTAAGCTTTCGTTTCAATTGACTATTTTCGAGACTAGTTCTATCTCTCTTATACCTTACTTCCATGAAATGATGAACATTTATATGAAGTTACAAGTAACTGAATCATTCAACCCCAAACCTGTTGAATATAGTAAGTTGAACATGATGTTTACTAGTTGTTTGTCCAGTGTTTAGCTTGAGCAATACTACAAACAGAAAGGAATTTTGTGATTGTATTGATTCTATGCTGACAATTTCTAAGTGATCTGTATTGTTTGCCAGTTGAATAAGTGTTTGGTTATATATACCATGTTTTCATCCTTTAATTTCTATCTTGGAAGTCGAAATGTCTTTATTTTCGCCTTCATTAACTCTTTCTCTTTCTCTCTCTCTCTCTCTCTCTCTCTCTCTCCTTCTGTCGATTCAGTACACTTCATAACTATGGTCGAATATTTTGGGGCTTTAATGTGAACACTTCAGAGAACTTTTCACCTATTATTGGTTCATCAAGTAATTGTTGTTCATATATGTCGTCAAATTCTTCAAGAAATTCTTTATTTCCAAAATATTTACGTTTTCCTGACAACTTTTTTGATGCTTCTCTGTCCAGACAGAGTGTTTAGTGAAGGTAAACCAGTACTGAAACTTGCCTGTAGTTCAGTGGAATTTAGTCGGTTGGCAAATTTATTTCATAGTAAGTTTTTATTTATCTAATTTAATTTTATTCCCCAAAAGAAATGATAGTTAACTCTTGGATTGAATGTGTTACCATGGTGCATAGATTTCAAGCTTTAACTAAATGATTCAATTCAATCCACTACAGATCTTTTTACTGGGCTGTAAGTAACACTAACTGTGTGAGAATCTTTAATACTATCAGGTTAGCTAGAGGAAACTGGATTGAGTAAGGTTCGACTTTGGTATTCTTGGAATGAGAGTCGAACACTTAAACCGAAAAGAAAACTAGACAAACAGACAGACGAAATCAACGTAGAACCTCTAACACAAAAGCATTGGCGTGCACTTCACAATACTATACAAAAAACAAGTGGATAGGAAAGGTTGGTATATAAAAGTAGTCAAAAGTGCATACGAGGTGAAGGAATTTGAAAACGAAACTTTCTGGATATACATATAATTCATCGTCCGCCAAGAAGTCAGTTTCAGAAACCAACAAACGGATTCCCTTACCCTACATGAAGAGCGTTTCCGAGATCACGACTAGATTATTGAAGCCTTTTAGCATCGCTGTAGCTCACAAGCCTAGAAAATCTCTTCACTCTCTGCTATACAGGCTAAAGGATGAGACAGTGAAGGAAGACAAACCAAACATTATCTACAAAATAAACTGCAGAAACTGTGGAAAGTACTACATCGGATAGAGTGATCGTCTTCTTCGCATCCGTCTACATGAACATCAACTAGCAGTGAAGCGTCGTGACGCATCTTCGCTCATATCAATGCATACAGACAACTGTAGACATGAATTTGATTGGAAACGTGTGGAAATTCTACCATTCAGGTCAGTCAGCAATCAACAAACTTATTGACATTGACCCAATCTATTAACCAATGGGAAACAATATGAACGTCAGATTTCGAAATAAATGTTAAGACAGTGACATGACCTTAGCAGAAATAACCAATCACACACAAGGCCATCAGGATAAGCCAGTAAATAAATTGCAGAGAAAAGCTTTTCACTCACTTCTTTCTGAAGTTTGCATCTATGATGATGTTGTCTAGAACGATAACAAAAACTCCACAATTAAACCATCAACCTCAGAGAACACAACACCATCAAAATTATTCTCATTAGCTATCAAAATATACAGGCTTCAGAAAACATCAAAAGAGAATCTGCGCCATTTTAACTGATTTTCAGCCATTTCACCAACAATCCTCAACCAGGAGTCAAACTTCCTGCATCGATGCAAGGGATTGGTGAGTCCTCCCTGAACCCCGTTCCAACCCAATCCAACTTTGCCTAGCACCGCACTTCGAGGTAAATGGTGCCCAATATGCGCAGTACATATCAAAGCTATCTCAATCGAATAAGGTTCACAACTTCATCGACTGAACTGCTTTCCTTGTCTACCCCCTTCACCTGATCCCAACATTGCTAGCATGGTGATGCCACTATATACAAACAGTGTCATGAAGACAAGTCTTCTACCTTAAACGACCATGTCTCACAGCCGTACAACAGGAGAGAACAAACTTCAGTAAAGTATAACCATCCTTTAACAGTTAGTGTATATCTTGCCAGTCGATAATAGAGATGACACCAGTTGGTAAGTGCTAAACGGAGCTTCTGTATCCGAGCTGCGATTTCGTCACCAACCAGCCTGTTTGATAGACAACAGTCATACTTATCTTAGTTGATGATATTTAGTCAATAATCAATTTGGCAAACATTTTGAGCACAAATTAACTCCACCTATAGGAACAATTATCATTCGAGTGAAAACTTTATGAATTATCCTAGTCTCATCAGTGGTTATCATCACGAGGCATCTTTTTAACATTCTGGTTTATCAGTTAATTAGTAGAATACAGTAATACAGATCTAAAAGTATTGGAACTACTTTGATTCTACTGTTGAAATCTAAACTAACTTTACTTATTTCTTTATGTTGGGACCATAGTTTTGATGGAGGCTATGCTTCCGGTTGCTCTTGGTGCGGATATTTTGCTGCGGCTTGATATGGGTGGCATCGGTTAACGAATTCTGTTATATCAGCACTTATACTTGACCATTATGCATAACTTCGGGAAATAGACTCCATGCTCACAATACCTTAGTCCACGCTATGGAACTGTTTCATGGCGGTCTTTCCAAGGTGTCCGGTATGATTACTGATTCTCTGAACATTAGACACTCATTGACGATGCTTAGACTATAGCGATAGTGGAATAATTCCTTGAGGTAGTGATTTGACACTGATTCTGGCCATGAGTTTCGGACGAATCTCATAACTTGTTGTAAAGTTTTATCTCTTATTTGTTCTGCCATAATGGGCAGTTGCTAAGTGGCGCATGTTAACAAATTTTGAACATATCTTTCTGTCTTCGCAGTCGTAATAACTGCTTCGTTCGACGGAAGTTAGTTACTTATTAGGCACTATAGAGCATCTGGATAGCCGAAATTTTATGTCCGCCGATATTTGATTTTAAGGTTGTGCCCATTGTAATCTGTTTTCAGAGTGAATCGGGATGCCTTTTTGTAACCAAACACGGAAACGTGCGGTTTGTGATCTGTTATTAAGGTGGATTTTCTACCGTACAGCATCTTATGAAACTGAACTGCGTAGACTGAAACGAAAGCCTCCTTCCTAATCTGTGCGTATCGCTTTTCTGCTGCAGAGGAGTATGAGATATGGAGTGAGAGGGAGTGTGAGTGTGGATAGCAGCCTTTTGCGTCCAGTTTGAAAATTAATATAATAGAACCTCACCAACTCATGTGACTGAAGAGTCTGCTGAGACTTTAATAAGTAGTTTCATATTGCAATGTGTAAGTAACAATTCTGAACCGAGGATACTCTTCAATCTTTGGACGACTTCATAACTCTCTTTGGGCCAGATCCATGTATGATCTTTTTGTAACATGCGGTTCAGTGGTTCACGAAAATTATGCAATGATGGCAGAAAGGTTGAGTTGTAGCTTATCATTAAAAAGAAAGAACGAAGCGTCAGCACATCTTTCGGGACCAGGATCTGTTGAATCACCTTTTTGTTCTTGGGATCAGGTACTCGTCTAGTCACATCAAAGATAAAACCAAAATACTCAACAGATTGTAGGAAAAATTGACATTTTTTGTTCTTAGCTGTAGTCTGTTGTCAGCGATCTTCTGCAGCACAAACCGTATTCGCTCTATTAATTCTTCTGGGGAAACTGTGACTATCAGTATATCGTCCAGATAAGTAGCAACTCTTGGAATGTCTGCTAGGATGGTCTCCATTAAATGCTTGAATATGGCGGAAGCAGTTTTAATTCCAATGCGTAACTTGTTGTATTGAAATAACCCTCGATATGTGTTCATCATAAACAGCTCGTGGTACTCATCCGGAACTTCGACCTGCAGGTATGCATCCGCCAAACCAATCTTTGCGAAGACTTTTCCGCTACTCTTGGTGCCAAACAAGTCATCTGGAACTAGTAGCGGATAATGGTGCTGTTCTAGAGATGCATTCAGACCTATCGAGAAATCAGCACAAATACTGTTGGAACCAATGGCCTTTTTAATAACTATTCTCGACAAATAGGTTACTGGTGTTATAACTGCTGCTTCTTCTAATCGTTCCAACTCAGCTTCCATAATCTGGTGTGAGATATGCGGAACAGGTCTTTTGGGAGGAGAAACTGGTTTGATGTTAGGTTGCAATTGTAGGGCTACTTTCATGGTGTTACAGAGCCCCAATCCAGGCTGGAACAACATCTTAAAATCCTGGAGTAATGTTGAGAACTCCATAACTTCGAACACTATTACAATGCTATTTAAGAGGATCTCCGCAAGCCGTAAATCTTAAAACTACTTCAACCTTGACAAATCTAGGTTTCAGTTATTTACATAGCATGCTCCGATAAACCGGGTATCATGGAAACAGACATTATGCTTTAATTGCTCACTTAGTTGAGATTTTTTCCCACATGCGCTGACCGCAATTTGATTTGTCTTCTCTATGGTGTATCTTCCCAATCTATGTCATAAATTCTCTGATGATATTGTTATGTTTGATGTCATGTCTATTTGAAGACGTGAGAGCTGCTAGTTGATCATGAATTCAATACATTTACGTGTGGCACACGGTTGATGATGTTATATATGGCTGAAATACTCGTAGATTTTGGCACTGAACGTCTATATCGTCGGCCTCAAGACTTTGGTTGGTTATTCTGTTCATATTAACTGTCTTTGTGTCCAATGGCTTGGCATCCTTGACATTTATGGTGTTTTAATGAGCCTGATTTCACGTAGGGCCTAACGCCGCCGTCCCAGAATGCTGTGGACGGTTTCTGATGCGATGAGTTTGACGTCGCATGTAATTCTGCTGGACTCTGACCACCAGAGTGGATAAAAGGTGGTATCATTACGAAGGTTGGTTAATCGCTGATATTCTTCTCCAATATTTTCCGAAGTCATTTGTGGATCCTTTTCTAATCTGTTCAGCAGGTTTGTTCATTTATCGGCAAACGTTAGGACATGTGGCCCCCAAATGAAGATTAAAACTTTGAACTAGTCTTCTGTAAGTGATTTCAACTTGAAAAGTTCACAGGTGCGGTTGACAATACTCACCTCCGGGTGAATATCATCGTCGTCGTTCAATATCAGCTTCAGCCAATGGTAACATATATTAAACAATGGCATGTGGTCACCAGACTGATGACAAATAGTCTGCACGGTCTCATCGAACGTTTTATCAGTATATTTATCCATTTCATCCGCTCTCAACTTCCTAAGCACCAGTCTTACTTTCTACGTGTGGTTTGTGTTTGCGAAGTCTTCTCTAAACGCGTCTTTATATCTATGAAACCATGCATCAAACTTTACGTTTGCATTTGAGTGATAGACGAATTCCGATATACTACTCCCGATGTTATCACTGGCTGGAGATAAATTGGTTGGGGATGATATCCGTAACGTAGCAAGCAACTCTGTACCAGTTTCTCCAAGTGTGATCTGTTAATTTCAAAATACCGCCGTCGCCAGTTTGCTATGACCGATAGTGCGATTTAACAGTCTACGAGCAATACGAACCTAGCGAGCGAAAAATCTACTCTAATCACTATTCACAACATCAGTACCACCGGCACGTGAAGATGAGAAGAGAAGACAGATCATTGACAGACAGCTTTTCCTGTCTCAACTGTAGTCAAAACAGTTGAGATTGATGCTGAATCTATACATTCTTAATGACTTTGACCAACACAAAATCCACATTTAAGTTAAAAGAGTTCAGCTTTCGGTGATAAGAGGGTAGGAAGACAGTAATATTAAATTATTTTGAAGGTTGAAGGTAAATATCAGACAAAAATTAGGCAAAATTAAGACTATCAAACACCACATGAGTTACAAAACCCAGTTTCTGACAGGGCACATCACTTTCATTTCAATCACTGAAAGTCTTGCCTAGCTGTCAGGTGAATAAGTGTGACGCATAACCTTCCATTCATCACCATATTATTTCGGATAGCTTCATCAACAGTCGAGAAACTACTCCTCCCGCCCCTTCCTCCGTCAGTTTCAAACTGACTTAGACTGACAAGAAAAAAAGATACAATTTGGGAACTAGTTTGATCATAAGTGAACAGTTACTAGTTACTCATTCATATAAAAATCGACCAAAATTGTTGATAACTCAAGTACAGTTAGTATCTAGTAATCAGATTGGTTTCTTAGGTCAATTTGTAGAGTGGTGGGTCACTAACATTGCAGATCACTGTATTGAATCCAACCATAACCTTAACTTTCTTTCTGATATAATGTGGTTTGTCAATATAATTATGGATTCATGAACAAGAAGCTTCGGGTCTCGCTCTTGCTAATTGCATGGTTCTTCAAAATAAATAAAAAGCAGCAAAACCACAGATTTATTATCAACTTATCTTCGTTGAAGAAAATGGAGATGGATTGGACATAAACTGAGAGGACGGATTGTGTACATCACGCGCCAGGCCATGCCCTCGAATGGAAGCCGAATGGGAAACGATGAGTTGGCCGTCCGAGGGTGACAGGGAAGAGATAGTGTTAGGAAGAAATGAAAGCTTCTGGGCAGTAATGGAGCCAGGTTAAAAAGATTGCAGAGAAGAGAATGGAATGGAGACGTGCCACTGAAGCCCTATGTTCCACTAAAAACCCAAGAGACAAATAAACAATGAAAAATATCTTCTCTGAGTATTTATTCTCATGTCTATCAGGTTTGACCCACCAGTCACGACTTCTCATTGGAAGATTAGGAATCATCTCTCGAAGCTAATCACCAATGAGCACTAGTTCAGTTGAATTCGGGGGTTTGTGGGGACTTTGTGATTTTTCAAGTTGGTATCCATCATGGACCGACATCAATTGGAGGAACATTGGAAACCTGGGAGCACTGGACAGCTGTTTTGTCCTAGTATGGGACTTCTCAGCAGTGGGCACCCACAACCCTTCCAGGGATCAAACCCAGGGAAAACTTTGTGGATATGGAATCATTACACACTGCATAAAATGAATGCTGTAAAAAGCATTCATGTTAATCTTTCCCAGAAAGAAAGATGATTAATTGATTTGGTTTAGTAGGCCTACTGCTAAATAATAAAAACTAAAACATTTTTCCATATTTTTCTATTCATCTTCCAGATTACAAAGATGAAAATCAAGAATTAGTCAATGTAGTTTTATTATCATCTTCAGGAGCTGGTTTTAAACAACTTTGCGTTATATTAAATGAAGTAGATGCATTTATTCTAATGGAAGTGAGTAAATTCTAATGCTCATGGCTAATTTTATTTCATTTTTTCTTGTTGACTTGACTTAACTTGAAACGATTAGTCCCTATGATGTATTTGTATAACATGAATATTAAGAAGACGGAGGTTATCTGAGATGTGTGTATGTTGTATTCACGCAATACATTTCAAACAATTGGATCATACACATTAATTTGTCACATGGCAGTTTATTATAAAGGATGAAAGACAACAGAATAGGATAAAATAAATAAATTAAGATATTAGAAGATTTGGAGTATACTATTGGGGTTTAGATAATAAGGAGGAATAATACAGTTTTTACACCATCTCCTCCCTTAGCATTAAAATGAGATAAACACTATCAAGGTACATGTCACATGTAGAACTTTTAGCTGACGATATTATCAGTAAATTTCCTTTGTGCAGGAGATGCATTGATGATATCTTAGTTATATGTAACAAATGCAAGGATAGATACAAAAAGTCTTCTAGATCGACTTAACATTGTACAAAGCCACATTATTTTATCGTATGAAGTAGAAAATAATAAGCAGCTTCCTTTTCTTGATGTGTTGTTGACTAAAATGGACGATGGATCAATGATCAATGTATAGTAAAACGTAAGTGGATTGAACAGTACCTTAACTTTCATAGATTCCGTCTAATACAGTACAAACAAGGTTAAGTAAAATGCTTATTCAAAAGAATTCAACACATCTGCACAACAGATACATTGAAAGAAGAAATTAAATTACTAACAGAGACACTCATGAAAGACGCATACCCTGTGAAGTTCACCAGTCTTTATTAAAAAGTCTCAACGGTACAAATTAATCAGTATTCTACCCGGAAGAAGGATGTTTACATCACGTTACTGTATAAGGAGTAATCAAACAGTATGATCTTAAAACGAAGACTTAATTCAGTTATTAAAAAGACATACAATGCGGGCCAATCTCAATATTATCAAGAAAATGAAGTTTATGCTTCCCTATATAAGTGATTACGTCACATCCTACTGTGTATACTAATTTACATGTATGTGCAGTGACAGATACATTGGGAAGAAGAGTAATCGAAGTATGAAGTCGATGGATGATGGAGCATATCCTTAAATGGTTAGAAAAACAATTACATTCAAATAAGAACAAGACATGTATCAGCGAAGAAGAAGCATTTCTTTTTAACAACATTATACCAAGCTGTACAGTCGTATTTATACTGAGTAAAGTGACAGATAATTGCACTAAAACGAGATGTTCAGTCAATATGCAAAATATTCAGTAGGTGTAGGTGGTGGTACTTGTTCAAATGGAAGTGACAGAAAATGGATCACTGAACACGGAACGAATTGATAACATGTGGTGAGATAAGAGGTAAGTGTTGTCAAAGAATTGTAACATGGTGATAATTAAGCTGAAACATACAAAATAGGCCAATGAATAAGGAATGAATCGATATTAAATAGTGAAATATGGGTCAAATATTGTCAATGAAGTGGAACTTGATAATAACAATAATAATGATAATAAAAGAGAAGTATACCAAAGTGAAGTGGAATAGAATGAAATTGACAAGATAACCAAAGTGAATTGTTAAGGCCAAGGTAGAGAAAGTGGTTTCACAAAACGTTTCTGAATGAAAAGTTTCGGTTTTTGTTCATGTATAGCCAATACTTCAGCTATACATAAGTGATGGAAACTTAGACCTCTGGGGTAGTTCAATTTAACTTTGTAAATTATTTTAAAGGATGAATTTCGATGTGCTGAATGACCTAATTCAACAAGATGTTCACATGTAGATGAAGTTGTTTTTCTTCGCTCACCTTTACTAAGTCAACACGTGTTCCGATGGCTTGCTGACAACGTTCAATGTAGTCAGCTTCATAGGAGCATGTGAATTTGTAGATACACATAGATGTGAACATAAGTGGTAGCCTATCCTTCACGCATTGTCGAATCAGACGGCAGCTGAAGAAAATCAGTCTCAGTCTAGCACCATAGAAGCTACTATTGATACATCTTGACAGACGATTTTTCAGCACTTCCGCTGTGGTGTCTCCTTTGAATTCTACATTCATGGTTAAAATTTTCTTAGGAACTGAAAGAAGGTGAGGGGTGATTCGTTTCTTCATATTGTTATAAATAAATCTTTTAGGGTATACGTTATTAGATAGTATTATTTTAAGAGTTTCGATTTCAGCATCCACCGTATCTTCTGAACATATTCCATAGATTCTGGAACACCGTGAGTGAATGAGATTTCTTTTACAACCAAGAGGTACCCAACTATTAAAGTTAGTGAACTGACCGGTCCAAGTTGGTTCACGATAGACTGACCTTTGTATAGAGCCATCATCCCTTCTCTTTAACGTTACGTCTAGAAAGTGGAACGATGAGTTTAACTCTTCCTCTACAGTGAAACTAATGGACGGATGACAATAATTGAAACGTCTTAGTAGCTCGTCCAATGAACATTTCGCAAATAAGAAATGTGTCATCAATGTACCTTTTATACAAATAAAGTCACGAAATTATTTCTTTAAGTGGTCCGTTTTTGATCTTTGCCATAAAGATATCAGCCAGGACAGGGTCTAGTGGCCACCTCATCATGACTCCGTCTGTCTGATTCATAATAACAATAATCTTACGAGAAATACAGGGGGCAGACACACATAGGTAAATACGTTATAAAAACAGGTCACAGGATTGACTCCAAAACAACCTTTATACCATTGCATAAGAGCTATCTAGACCGTATACTCAGGTTCATTGAAGCCTCAGCTATACGGAAGTTCAAACCCCCTTTGTATGTCCAAAAACAGTTTATCTATACCTTAAACTTACCTTGGCAATCTTTATCGCATTTTAACGCCAAGGGAGGTGTGAAAATGTATTATTCCTCCTTATTATCCCCATATTTTCCAAATTTTGTATTATCTTAATGTAGGAGTACAACTTGAGCACTGTAGTAGATTGTAATTCCGTTTTAGTCTAGCGATTAGATTTACCACACAGTTTAACAGTATCATTTGATGAATAACGTTCCGGACACAATTTATTGTCCATATTCATATCATGTAACTCTACAACTTTCTCTCCTTCTTTGTGATGACAGGGATAGTAGAATTTTTCACTTATCTAGGATAGGTACAGAATTATTTCTATCACTGTGTGTATTTGGTGTTGATTCGATAAATGTAGATTCCGTTGTCAATCTCTCCTTCCAGCCAACTAAGTTAATTTTTAATACCGTCACTCTATCCTACCGTATTATATGATTGTATGTAATTGCGTGCAGGGCTATAACTAAGCTTTTCTCTAAATTTCTTATCTTGTCAAGATATACTAATCTTGATTCAGATAGGCTTTGTGCTCTGTTATTCTAATCGACCCTGGTCGACTACTTTGAGCAACTTATGTAGTTGACCTCGCAATCATTGCAAGGGATCTATCTGGCAAACCAGATTATTTTACTTAATTGCATCAATAGGATCTTTCAACCTACAAAACTTGTTTCTAAGTGAGTTTTTTGGTTTAAACGCCTTCCACTTTAATCCCAACCACCCTTACTTAGAATTCCTCGTAATGCTTCTGAGGTGCCTTCCTCATATGGTAACACAAAAGAAGCTTTGAATTCTCTCTTAACCCTGTCGGCATTATTACCACTAGTAGTGGGATTATTATTAATAACACCTGTATTACTACTACTACTACTACTACTACTACTACTACTACTACTACTACTACTACTACTACTACTGCTACTACTACTACTACTACTACTACTACTACTACTACTACCACTGCTAATATTTTTCTTTCGATTTCTTATGAATTTATTTATAACTTTGTGTGGGTAGTTATTGAGGTTCAAGACATTCTTGAAGTGTCTAATTTCTTGTCTCAAATTTTCTGGTCTACTAGTGAGCTTTTCTCCTTATCACTTAAGCATTTAACTAGGCCAACTTTAACTGAGATGGAGTGGGAGGATTTGAAGTCCATTCGAATGGGTAGGTTTCCTATAGACACTAGTCTCTAGATTTCCTTCTTGTATTCGTTTAATCTTCCAATCCAACATTGCTAGCTCACCTTCATCACTTTCTAAGTCACAGGTAAATTGGATTGCATTCACTACTGAATGTATATGCTCCAAGAACCTATTGATATGTTCTGATTTCAGTACTGTAAACGTATCATCTGCATATCGGAACCATATCTTTGGAGTAGGACTAAATTTTTGAAGGGCCATCGGTTCCCAATTATACATAAATATGTCTACGACGATATGAGATATTGGTGATCCCATGGCAACACCTTCAGTTTGTTGATATATTTTATTTTGAAACTTAAAAACTGTAGATGTTAGGTACAATCGTACTCCTAGTATGATTTCCTCGATCGGCACTTTAGTTCGATGCGTAAGTTCTTTGTCATCTTTAAGCCCATTTCTAACTGCCTCTAGAGCCATGTCAATCGATATATTTATGTAAAGGCTAGTTATGTCAAAACTAACCATTTTTTCTCTGTCGTCTAAGTGTATGTCATCTAATCTATGCTTTAAGTTATAAGAGGTTGGTAAGTCGAGACTTTGAGTGATTGCTTATTGGGCCTAATACCATTGTTAAATATTTAGACAACTTGTAAGTTGAAGTGTTTTTAAAATCTACTATAGGTCTGGTAGGATATCCTGACTTATGAATCTTAATAGTACTATACATTCTACTGGGATTATCAGTTTTCAGCATTAAATTAAACCACTCTGACTCACGTAGAAATGGCTTCATCCGACGTATCAGATCCCCTGTCGATTTCTTGACCTTATTCACTGACTTCTTAATTTCCTCATATGGTCCTGTTTCTATATTCTCGTTCACTTTGTTGATGTTGTCAGATTTGCTCATTACAACTGTTGAGTTGCCTTTATCCGATTTGGCAGTTTAGTCTCAATAGGAACAGCATCACTCATTGACACGAAAAAAATTAGCTAAATTAAGAGTCGTAGATACTAATAAGAAATTTATAGAAAAGCTCAGCTATAGCTATGCATACAGTTATACACAAATCATACAGTAGGGTAGGATACAGTGACAATATTAAAAATTAACTTAGTTGGATGGAAGGAAGGATAGATTGATAACCGAATCTTTGTTTATCGAATGACTACCGAATACACGTAGTAATAAAAATGATTCTGCACCTGTCCCAGATATATGGAGAATTCCATTACTCTTGTCATTTCCAAAGAAGGAGAAAAAATTAGGACTATATAAACTCTTTATTGATATATTTGTAATTCTCCGTTGTCTTATTGGATCGGATTGTCCAACCTCTATTGGCCCATGGGCTCCTATATGGATGCCTCGATATTGTCCGAATGTTAATTCGGATGATTGTGCCTAACAGAGGAATCCAGGACGCGTGATTCGTTTTATTCGGGAGTCGTCAGTTGGATGTACCTTCACTCCATTGAGGAGTGACGTTGTTCCCACTAAGACTCGAACCTCGTACTCTTCACTTCAAACGCCAAGGCGTTATCCACTATGCCATGGAGGAATGATAGCCACTTCTTGTTCAACGGGTAGTAGTTGTTACTATTTGTTGGTTTAGTTTTAATTCTCCGTTTTTTTCATTGGATCTAGTTGTTCGACTTCTATTGACACAAGGGTTCGTATGCGGATGCCTCGAAACGCGTGTCCTGGATTCTTCTGCTAACCACAATCAAATAAATTACCATAACTAACATTCAGGCAATGTCGAGGCATCCGTATAGGACCCATATGCCAATAGAGGTAGAACAATTCTATCCAACAAAACAAAACTACTCGTTGTACAAGAAATGGCTATCGTTCCTCCATGGCATAGTGGATAACGCCTTGGCGTTTGAAGCGAAGGTTACGATGTTCAAGTCTCAGTGGAAACAACATCCCTCCTCACTGGGGTCCAAATACATCCAGTTGACGAGTCCTGAATAGGACGAAACGCACGTCCTGGATTCTGCTGCTAGCCACCAAGTAGACTAAAATACAATGAATATATGGGCAATATCTAAGCATCTACTTACAAACCCATCTGTTAGCAGAGATCAAGCAATTCGGTTCAACCAACGACCGTATGATATAGAAACAATCATACTAATGTCATCCTAATTACCTAACAAAAATAATTTTTACATAGTTATTGGATTGTGTTTTTTTTTACTCCAACCTCTCTTGTTGTCCACCCTTTCAAATAGCCGAATACATTTGTTTGGGATACATGTGGTCCACATACTATTATCTCATCACTTGGTGGTGGAATTATCCAACTGAAAACTGCTCTTGATTCAGTTAAAACGTTATTACATAATATTACTGATAATCTGGACAGTGTTCGACAGACAATATTGAATGATTTGAATAAATTTCAAATCATTTACAATGTATTGAAGTCACCAGAAGAGATTCAGGTAATCGAATGTTTGTTTGTTTGTTTTTTTTCGATTGAATTTCAGACAATTGACAACAAAAGTAATAAGATGTGAATCATTGAATTCTTTCCTATATGATGAATGAATGTCAACCTGCTCATCATATGACCTCATAGAGTCTCAATTGTATGCTCCTTAGGAGTTTATAACTAGAATAAAGGAGGGTATTGTGTACTCCGAGTTTTTTTCACACTCCCCATTATCATTGAAGAATTAAGATGTTCCTGTTATTCTGATGAAAGATGAAATATAGTTCATTGATAGATTTCTGAGTTAAAACCTATTTGGTTAACGTTTTCATGATTATCATCATCATATCATCGGTGGTACTTCATGGGAACATGTGCTTGAACAACAAATTTATGTATATAAATCAAACATTCTTAGGCAAGAAAGTTAATTATATACACTAATAGCATTAAGACCTTACAGACAAATTTAAAATATGATAAAAGCTAACTGATTTTAATTGCTATAATTGAGCTGGAGTTGGCTAACAGGGGAATCCATAACAAGTGTTTCGTCCTGCTTAGTACTCGTCAAACGGATGTATCTACATTCCAGTGAATAATATTGTCCCAACTGAGACATGATAGCCAACTCTTGTCCAATGGATATCAGCTATCGTTACTGAGTGAAATATTTAATTTCTTGTTCTTATTCTAGAGGTGGTTCTGGTGGCCGATCCGTTCAATGCACACTAACAAAGCGGACTTACAAGTATTAGGAAAAGAATAACCGTTTTAATTGTGTTTATGTTCTCTGAGTTGAACGGTTTAATCATGAAGCTTTCATTGTCTTCCTAGATAACATCATCAGTGAGTTGTCAATATCTCTCTCAGTAGCTTTCCTTGGCGAACTGGTTTGTGATTGGTTGTTCCCTCGATTGCTGTGTCATTGGCTGTATAGATCTTCCTGTTGGCCACTCCTCTACCTGACCTCTAACCTTCCTGTCATTTATCATTTTTCTTGTTGGCTGATAGATTGGGTCTTTGTCTATACATCTTTTAATTGCTGACTGACTGACCTGAATGACAAGCTTCTAGGAATTCTCTGATATTCTTTGTGTTTCCTCTCTCCATCCAACATTTCTACATTGTCGGAATTGAATTCATGTTCATAATTATCCACGCTCATTGGAATGAGTGATGAAATGTCGTGACGTGTAACAGCCAATTGGTGTTCATGTGGATGAAGGTGAAGAGGGCGACCACTTTTTCCAATGTAGTGTTGACTAAACTTGTTGTAGTTCATTTTGTGGATGATATTCGGTTTATCTTCTTTGGTTGTTGCTTCCTTTGATCTGCATAATAGTATTTAGAGGGAATGTTTTGGTTTATGAGTGGCCATACCGATCCCACCAAGTGGTCTCAGTAATGTTGTCGTGATTTCTGATACATTCTTTATGCATTATGGTAGGATGATGTGTTTGTTGACTCCTGTCGATGACTTTGTAGTTGATGATGTATGGGATAGGCATCTTCTGATAAGGTTTCGTGGGTAGCCGTTCTTGTTTAGGATAGACATCAAGTAATTTTCTTCGTTTCTCCGTGAAGTGGTTGTATTACAGCGTGTTCTCGCTGTTTTGAATCAAGTCTGGATGTAACTGATTTTGTGTGTTATTGGTTTGTTGCTATTGTAATTGAGGATTTGATCAGTGTGTGTTGGCATCCTGTACACTTGGGTTTCCAACTTTTTGGCATTTGTCCTACTGACTAGCACATCAAGGAATGGTAGTTGGTTGTTCGAATCCTTCCCGATTGTGAATTTGATGTCATTGAAAAGGTTGTTGATCAAACTACGAGTGTTTTCTCTATCTCCTCTTCTTTGAATGATGACGAAAGTATCGTCCACATAACGAATCGGGTTCAAAGTTTTGTTTTCCAGTTCTTGCGTCATCACTTCTACAATTAGTCCGGATATCAGTAGTCCCATTGGGGTCCCTTTGATCTATTTGTAGGTCTTATCATTGAATTGGAAGTATGCTGTCAGACAAAGGTTGATGAGTTCTATGACACATGAACGCTTAATTTTTATGAGTTTCGAAAGCTTTGTGTCTTCAGTTAGGAAGATAGATATAATATCCTTAGCCATTTGTTTTCCAGTTGATGTGTATAGTACTGTCACGTCATAGGATACCATTAATTTGTCTTTTTCTACGTCATCACCTTTAATCCATTATCAAAAATTCTGTCAATGATTTTATAGAATATTCACAAGACTCTACAAGATATTTCAGTTCCCATTAAAACTCTCTGGAAAAATTGTAAAATTGGATTCCCTGGAAATAAAAATATTGGTCATAAAAGGCTATCTGATTTGTATAGTTTTTGGTCTTTTCGGATAAACAAACCACTTCATCAGGATAAGCTGATGAATCACTCACGAAGAAATGCAGATAAATCAATTCAGATTGATGTTATTGCTGATGATATCGTCTAGAAAGACAATGAAAGCTTGATGAATAAATAATCCAGTTTAGAGAATACAAAACAGTCGGGATCTTTCACATAAACTATAAATATTCTTCACCAGTTCAATATTTATATGGGTTGGAGAACAAGTATTTGTTATGATGGTGCTCATGAATGCCACGAAATAGCTTTATTCACTTATAGTACTCATTTGCACAAGTTTCTTATATGAGTTAGGTTATTCTCCTCACATGTGCTTCATTGATTTATCATACCTTGTAGAGGATGATCTAACTCATCGTGGCAATCACCGGACAAGGTTATGAAGTCGTCAATTCATCTTGACAACATGAGATGTAATCAGTCGTTTTTAATAACCATGTTATCTATTTTTTTGAGATGAATGGAGATTTCAATTTGGAGGTAGTATTCATCACGGACTGACATCGGTTGACGGAACATTGAAAACCTGGTGTGGTAGTCCCCAGCAGTAAGCACTCACGACCAGGCCAGGGTTCGAACTCAGGATGCTCGTCGGTGATGAATACTACCTCAAAATTAAAATCCTCATTTATCTCAAAACTACATTAGTGCTCGTTAGTGACCTTCTTCCAGATGGATATCACGAAGTTCTAATGAGAAGCCGTGACCTATGGGGTCAATCAGTCGGAAGGGAATCGGGTGCTAACTGAAGACCTTGGGTGATAGTCGCGATATATCATGAATTGGCAGAAGTTCAGAACTGTGATCTAGTGGCTGAATTTTAACGTGTTCACCGTGAAACCTGAAGGTCCTAAGTTCAATCCGTAGCTGAATCGTGGGTGAGTACTGCTGCGGTATCCCATGATAATACGAAACAATAGTCCAGTGCCCGAAGGTTTCTAATTTTTTTCATTTTGATGTCGATCCGTGATGACTACTACCTCATTAACTTCAAGGTACATTAATGAAAATGTTTTGTTAAAAGTAGCAATTATTGGGAAGACTGAATGAAGTAACACCGGAAACCATCGGATGTAAAAATAATAGTGATAATAACGACATTATAATATGCAGATTAATCTAAAAAAAAAGGGGAAAGTTGAAAAAACAAAACGGGACGAAGCATACCAAGACCAAATAGTGAAGGATAAAGACTACATACATTTTGGCTTGAAAAAATAAGCAACGAGGAACTCTGGGACGAACCAACCAAGAACCCATCGCCTAACAAATATGCAGAATAAGAAAGTGGAGATCGACTGGACTGCAGATACACTGAGAAGAACATCCGGGGATATCACTCCCCAGGCCCTCGAGTGGAATCCAAAGAGGAAACGATGAGTTGGATGTTCCAGCTGAGAATGACATGAAGGAGATTATGGAGAAGAAATGAAAGCTTGTGGGCAGTAGTGGAGATAGGTTAAAATAAACTGCAGAGAAGAGAATGAAACGGTGATGTTCTAGTGAAATCCTATGTTCCACTAGTAACCCAAAGAACATATAATTAAATAATAAATAATACATTTTGGCTTACAAAATTTAGGGTTTACTCAATCAATATTCAAGGCCTCTGCTGTTTTTATAAGTTGACAACGATGGGAGCGTGAGATGCTTAAGTGAATTCGATAGGTGACCTTAAAATCATTCATTGTCCAAGTCAGTTGAATGAATGGAACTGATTAGATGTTCATGGACATCCTTTTTCATCCTTATAAAACTAGGCAAGGATATATTCTTGTATATGTGTTGACAATAATCTGTATCTATGATGAACTGGTAGATACATATGGAGGTGGCTTTTCAACAGATATTATCATTTATACAATCTACAATCTATACAATGTAGGACTAGTTAAGTTCAAATGAAGTCGGAGTATGAAAAAGATCCTACCAGTTGATGTCAAAAGATGATTTTTCAGGATATCTGATGTTGTATCACCTTTAACTTTTAGATTCCTCAATACAAAGTCTCTTTAGAAATTGAATTAATGACTAGTCTCCCATGTCTTTCTTGCATATGCTTATCAGTGAGTCGATCAGGATAGACATTTTTTTTGCTAGCCTACCTCCTTACATTAGTATAGCAGTGATAAGTTGACTGGACAATATTTATCTTAGATAAAGAATAGCTGAAGTATGCCAAAAGCGAAAACAATTTATCCTTAACAACAAAAAAACCCCGTCTAAACAGTGAGATTTTTTACGCTCAATAGGTCAATGGTTATGTGTCATGTTTTAAATACCATGTAGCCCTGTATCAACTTCATTAATTCACAGTTGTTTAACCTGTTTGTTTGTTCTGCTTATAACAGATGCTCAATTCACCTAACCTTTCAAAATGTTGTAATCGTAATGGTCTATTGGCTTATAGAAATCCAATGTTAGCTAGTCAGCTACTTGTGCATATAGCATTGAATCAAAACTGATTGTATAATTATCGAAGGCAGAGATCAAAATGAATATCTATATACACTCTTATATACATATACTTCCAGTCATTCCATAAGTAATTTGAGAAATGATCAATTTTCTATTGTTCAACTGTCAATTTCATAATTATCAGCTTTTCATTGGGTTAGGTTTCATTATCCCCTCGTTTGTCTTTTGTTTTTCTAATAATAGTATTTGTAATCATAATAGTAATGTTAATAATAATGATAATAATCAGAATAAGAAAGAACAATGGGTTGTAAAACCCTATCCACATGCTTACTTATTTATTCCTTAATTTATTAATATATACATTTGTCTACTGATTGTTTGTTATGAAGACTCAAATAGAAGCTTCTAGGAGCTACAAAGAAACTATATCACATAAAAAAGGAAGACTGGAATATCTGAATATCAGAGCTTCAGTTCATGTTTCCATCTATCTGTCTATCTGTGTCTATCTATGCAAATATGTGTATACCTACTTGAAGAAACTATCATTCAGTCTAATATTCAAGGTAGCCAATTCATTCACCTATTGATTTAATCAAAGTGAATGCAATATAACTTTATCAATCAGTAAGATGATATCATCATTGAATTAGGTTTTCAACTACTACCCATTACTAATGTTACCTTTTTGTTTCAAATCTCTTCATTACTTAATTAATTTAATCCCTTAATCTTGTTTTCATCGCTTTATTTAAGCGTATAGATGAACATATAAAGACACATTGGGGGACGGGGGGCGGGGAAGGGGAAAGCTCAAAGAGATTTTTGCATTTATTACGATTTATTATTTACCTATTTATTGTTATTAGTATCATCACCATCATCATTATTTGCATTATTACATTCATTTAACCTACTTATTTACTCAATGACTTATTGAATGAATTATTTATTTATTTAGGCATTCACGTGAACCAATAATGACTTTAAATCTCTTACTCAGATATACTACTGATTTCAGTAGTATACTCATCAATCTCTGCGTATATATATATATATATATATATATATATATATATATATATATATATATATATACAACCAAATTTATTTCCTGTTTCTGTTGTAAACCTAGATGAATAAAATAATTACCATCAGAATAATAAAATTCTTGTTGTTTTATAATCTTCAGTACCTGTTAAAGTGTTTGATGTCGACAGTATTCCGCTATTATCATCTTACATCCTTACTGGTTGTTTGGTTATCTTGGATAAAATGATGATGTATGATTGTATTGACCATGTTTTTTTCCCATTTGGAAGTAGGCTTGTGTCATTCATCATGGGAAGACATCAGTTGGAGAAACATTGAAAACCTGGGAGCACTGAACAGCTATTTCGTCCTAGTATGGGACTTCTCAGCAGCCCATACCTTTGACTCCCCCCCCCCATCCGATAGGGATCGAACCGAGATTCCACAGGTTGCATGTTGCCATTGAACTACTGGCTCGGAATCCAATGGTTTGTATTTCCTACTTTTGTTAGACCACGATATAGCACGACCTCCATTCAATACCGTCGTTGATCGTATTGATAAGATTTCTACAATTTCGTACTTTTGTTCTCTCCTACACTTGTCATTTCATCCGCTATTACATAGACTGGATTTGTGAAAAGTTGTTTCACCGTGAAAACCAGGTAACCATTCACTGTTTTTTATTATGATGATGAAGTTACATAGCAATCAATCAAAGTTAGCATACGACTAGGCATTACAGCATAATGGTTCAAGTTGCACACACACATACACCTCATATCAGCACATCTAGTAACAAAGCAATAAAATGGAAGATGAGAAAGGGAAGAAAAATCGGTCAAATGAAGTAGAAGTATAAAGTAGTAAGAGAGAGGAAGGAGGAACAATAAGATGATGAGATTAAGTATCGTGGTTAAGATGAGGATAATGTAGGTGTGCATCTGTGCCACTGACATGAATTCTGAGCCATGACGCAGAGTCAGTCTCCAACCACTAATTTCTTTTGTCCCGCGGATCCCAACCGGTTAGTCTGCATCGCCGTACATTACTCAACCGAACAGTCAAGGACTTCATGCATTGATGCCATGTTTTAATATGGCCGCCCCAAACCTTTTTCCAGCCTGAACCTACTTCGGCCAACATTGTGCGACGAGGCAGATAGTGACTAGACATGAGTAACACATGTCCTAGCCATATCAGTCCATGAAGGCTTTATAACCTCATCGACTAAGCTTCTTCTGCTTAAAACCCTACACCTGACTTCTTCGTTACTCACGTGGTGACATCACGAAACACGGCCTATACTACGAAGGCAATATTCATCAAACACATGAAGCCTCCTCATGTCTACAACCTTTAATGGCCATGTTTCACAGCGATACAGTAGAATATGGTGGACTGCAGCACAGTACACACAGTTTTGTGAATAATTTCCATCACTATAATAATCAGCAGGGAATTACAAGTATCAACAATTAATAACAATCCACACCATTTGTGCATTAAGTGACTGTCGTGAATCAGTAGCCTAGTTAATAACTCTCTGCTGTTTGAAACGTTTCCGTGGGAACACCCTGACTTTCTGAAATCTAAGTGAATCCATCTGACAAGTTCTAGATAGGATGAAATATGCCTCCTGGATTCCACTAATCACACAGTACATCACTATGTGTGCCATAATTTGCACTGATATTAGCCATTCATAGAAAATTGTGTGTGTGTGTGTGTGTGAATGAATGAATGAATGAATGACTCCATGATTTCAGGATGAATGTTACAGTCATAGGCTAACAACTTAATAACTTTACATTTAATGGTTGGAATCCTATTGTGATAGAAGTATATATATAAAGTATATCGGCCTGATGAAGGCTTTAAATTCTGGCCCCTATGTGTTTTTTAGCACCTATGATGAGTTATCAGGTGGTTTGTGTACATCGAGTAGTGTTCGTCAAGTATCCCGCCTCTCTTTTCACGCTTAGTTTATTTTGTCATAGACACGATTTTGGAGATCGCCTACTTGTCAGCTTATTTCATAGAGATATACCTTGTCTCACTCGGTATCAATAATACCAGTCTACTAAACCACAGGTATCTACGATAATCCTGACAATATCAGATCCTAGAATCTTGGTGCTCACATTTATAGACAGGCAAACAGTGCAGATCAACGCATAAACTTACATCCAAGCTCATCGATTCCAGTTGCCACACTTCAATGCAGTATACAAAGATCAGTTGGGTTGGAAAGATTGATGTCGCATTGACCAACTTGAAGGTTAGTCAGAACTCTCAAGCTTCGGAAGACGTGAATGTCTGACCTACATCTGCACTACCATTGTGACTGGTTTTCAGTGTCATATCACCATGAGTCAGTCCTCAACCGCTGATTCCTATCGTCTTGGGGACCCCAGTCAGAAATGTTATCATCTGGTGCCACATCTTAACCTCGCCGCCATAAACCTCTTCCAACTTCCCTCTAGCATTGAATGTCAAGGTTCACAGAAATGAAAAACATCGATATGAGCTTATTAAACCTTTCACTAATCTGATTTTATCGTTAGTTGATTGATAGTTTAAAACAAATACTGAAAAATATGAGATGAAGAGAGATGTAGTTCAGCAGTCCCACAGAGTTTCGCAACGGGATAGTCTCTTTGATATTGTTAGTTTTATTTGCACAAAACAGTATAACATCATCGAATATTTGGACTAAATTCCTTAGATCTCAATATTGCTGGTGTCTCGAACAGGAAAGGAATTTACCATTAAGTTGTGTTTATCCCCAACAGTTGGCTGTATTGATAAATCTGTTCATGTTAATTATGGATCGTGGCTAGTAGTGGAATCCAGGATGCGCACTTCGTCCTATTTGGGACTTGTCAGCTGGATATACCTGCCTCCTAGTGAGTTTTGTTCCCACCGGCATTCAGACTCGGGAGCGATCGCTTCAAACACTACAGTTTTATCCACCACACTACTGAGACACGATAGCCACTTCTTGTGCGACGGGTACAGTTTTAGTATAGTTGTTTTTATATTATCTCGTCATCGACTGGACCGGATCGATCGGTTTTTATTGGCATATTGGCTCCTGTGTGGATGCTTTGATATTGCCTACGGTCTAACTATATTAATGATGGATAGTGGTTAGTAAGTGGAATCCAGGATGCTGACGAGTACCAAACAGGACGAAATGCGCATCCTGGATTCCACTCCTAGCCACTATCCATCGTTAATATGTAATTCAACCACAGGCAATATCGAGGCATCCGCATAGGAGCCAATATACCAATAGAGACCGATCAATTCGGTCCAAGCAACGACGGTATGATATAAAAACAATTATATTAGTCTATTCCGTGTTGTTGTTATTTTGTTTTTTACTATAATGTGCTAGAAAAGCTGATGTCATTCGTTTTAAAGAATCGTGTAGTCAGACAGAAATGTCAAGTTTTTGAAGATACCTTATTGAAAGGGAATGTCACCGGTAAGCACCAGTATCCATTTCAAAAACAAAAAACAAATGAAAGAAAGGGATAATCAAATGGGTTTGTTGTGATGCCTCAGTTTTGTATCAAACATTCTTATCGATCTGAACATTTTAACGTGTCATTCCCACATCATTTTTTTACGGTATGACTAATAGTCTATCTTTGTCCCCATTGTAATGTAAATTGCTAAGTGGTTAGTCTTTACTCTTACTATGCAAATGCCTCAAATTGAGGACAAGGTCATTTTTCATGTATATACTTATTCATGTGTTTTGGGGTTGATTATTATTATATTCTCGGAGTAATAACACTCTCTCATCTGCCAGCTTTGGTCTTCTCTCTATTCGTCCACGGGTTGCAGTCAGTGGCTCTTGCGTACCCAGTTAGCTATCAGCTAAGCGTGGGTATTATATTCGTTCCGGAATATATACATACATATAACTATTAGCCTTCGAAATCATAACAAGGTTAAAGATGAATTTCCAAAGAGAATTACTCTCCCTTTCATCTATTTA